GGATTATATATATATATATATATATATATATATATATATATATATATATATATTAGCTAAATCTGGAGCGCTCGATAGTTTGCCAACACACCCCGACAAATCGGCAATGGCCAACGGAAACGACCAGAGCTTAGGCAGCCAGGCCAAGCTTTCCTCCGGCAAAGACGTTTAAGTTGCCGACAGCCTGCTGACCAGGTTTCTTCCCAAGGTGGAAAAATGGTACCAAAAGCATGACCTAGCTCGGCAAACACGCCACCCTGACACCCAAAAGACTTTGCGGGTGATTATACGAACTCGAAGCCTCTAGATGCGGCCACTGCCCTAAGCCCAGAAGAGGCCGTGAACTACCTGTCGGAGCTTGTCAGCAGCCTGCAATCATCAGGACTTGGCGCTTCTCAGCAGCCTGCAATCATCAGGACTGCCATCACACGGCTTGTGTTCAAGCAAGGCGCGCCCATCATGCTCCAACGAAGCCTGCATCCCCAAGCTCTGCAATGACGACTTACATGACGTGCGACTCCTGGAGAGCGAATGTGCCTTTCGAGCCTAGGCGGATCCAATTTCCTGCCAAGCATGCCTACACCATGACTGAGAACGAGAGCCCAGGCTTGCCTCTGGTAATGGGTCTCAACCTGATTGAGCCAATGTTCTCCCAGGGTAAAACTGACGTCGGCAGCTTCAGAGTGAGTGTGGCCAGTCTGCTCATCCTGTTGCGGGAGGGTGATGGCCAGAATATGGTGCACATCACAGCACCGCAATCGCAGGATTTCTCCGCGCAGAAATTCAGGTGCGGCAGGCCAGCAAGGCACAACGGTGTCTAGCACCCCCTTGGCCATCGCAAAATTGCATCGTGCATGATCTCGGTTAATCGGCGCCGGACCCGTCCACTGCCGTGATGACCCAGCCTGGCAGCCAGGATCGTAATGCCGTGCTTCAGAGCGGCACGTGAGCCCACTGACAGGGCAGCTGGTCCAACAACGGTTCAGTGGGACGGGCTACCTGCCTTTCAGATTGGCACTTGGTCAGCGATCTGAAATACCAGTCTCAGATGACCCAGCAGTGTCAAAGACCCTTGGTGGGTAATCTGGGGCTAGTGTGTCAATTCCGCACGTTGCATGCTGTCGCTTTGCTAAAGCTTGTTTGAAATTGAGCGTCTGGTGATGCGGTAATATTGGGATACAATAACGGTTTGCTCTCTAACAGTTGATTTACGGACGGCAATTTTGTTGCAGTGTCCCACTATCAGATTAAGTATAGTTACAAATGCCTTCTAGACAAGCCAGATCAATATTTGTCATAACCCAAATGTAACTGTTTGAAATAGTTCGTTTGCATGACAGCTTTCTTAACTATTAAGGCGTCGCTATGCACACACACACACACACACACACACACACACACACACACACACATATATATATATATATATATATATATATATATATATATATATATATATATATATAATCATATTGTGGAGTGTTGGTGGTGTAGTGGTCAAGCTGTGCATCTGGGAAACCAGAATGCGGGTTCGATTCCCTGCGGTGCTCGTCCTTCCTGCCAGGGTGAGAGGTAGGGGACACGATGTAGTATCAGCATCTGAGTGTGCCATAAAGCCCCAATGGCGACGACGACTGCCTCTCGTGAACGAATATTATGTACACCCTTGAATATACTATACGGCGCTCGTAGGGCTGCCAGCTGAAGAGACAAAAATGTCCTCATTTCACGGACTGAATAACTGTTGGGACCATCGTCCTCATCTGTCGTGCCAGTATGACTAGAACGTCTTGGCCAATGAACTCTCAGATCGCCGCCAGGTGTTGTGGAGTTTTGAGAAGGGCTGGACAATGTTCGGTTTTCGGCTACGCCTGCCTCTATGCCGTCTACTCTTCGATGAAGAGCCTTCGATTTTATATTCTTGATACTAATACATCGCCTCAATCCTCCCTTAAACTATGTTCTGATTTGATACGCGTATGACTGAGCTTAACAGCATATGACCAGACCAAGGTATTGTTTCCGCTTCGATCAATTGCGCGCTCTCTGGAGTTTTGGTTAGAGTGCCCCTGGTTTTCCTGGCACCATGTACTACTCAGCAAGGAGGAAATGCAAAAGCCGTCTATTTGTCTTGGCCAACATTACCATCGTCACAATGTAACGGCACACCAAAACTTATTTCGAAACCCGGTGCGCCCTTATGTAGGAAAGAAAACGCAGGAAGACCATTTCGCTCCTTCAACACAAGTTTTTGAGGGATGGTTCTAAGCTGACCTGAACAGCAGAAAGGATCGCAAAAGTAAAGTACATCAGTAGTGAACACTCGTTAAAATTTACTTTAATGATACAAGATGCAAGATACAAGATATCTTTACCTAAGTGGATATCAGTCAGAAGTTGGCGAAAGGTGATGAACAACAGCAGATGACATTTTTTCGTCTGCCTGAAAACAATAGCTGAAGGCAATACTGGGTTTCTGAACCTCGTTTGGTTCAGCAACGAGGCCCACCTGCACCTGAAAGAGGCGTTTTGTTTCGTAACACCCAAAACTGACGGATTTGAACTTCTCGCAGGTGCCAGACACCGCGCTGGAGGGACGGCTGCACTGCCGGAAAGTGACAGCATGGTGCACCATGAGTTCAAGCGGCGTTAGCTCTGAGCTACACGCCCGCCAAGATGTGAAGACTATTTCGCGGTGCGTGTTTTGAAGTCATCCAGAGACGTAGCACCTCATAAAAATGTTGCACCAATTTTGCCTCCTCGATGGTCACATTATGGGTCAGGTCAAGATAACATAGCCATTGAATTATTTGAGTCTAGAGTGCATCAGCACAAATCGTAGCATCAACGGCAAGTTACTGACTCTCAACCAACTTAACATGCCACATCCAAGTTTCGAACACGAACCACGTTTTGCGATAAATGATGCAGGAAGGTGGGCAATACTACTAATTATGATGAACATGAGGCTGGGAATCGAATAACTTCAGAGTGGCATTGTGACAACATAATGGGTTACACGGGCAACATGCCAAAGTCAAGTCGGGGCAGGCCGAAATCTGCCCGGCAACAGTAGTTCAAACTAAAGTGAATTTGCGCGGCTTCATAGGGAAATGAGTAAGGTAATTGTGCTTGCAGGCCAGTGCCACCTGGCATCCTTCAAAGGAGCACGGTGAACCAATCTGAAAAGCTCATTCTAATTAAGTGGCTCTTTCTGCCGACGCTTCCCAGCTGTGCGAGGCTCATCTGTGGCCGCCGATGTACGCGACGGCCCCACCACGGGCTTTATTCACGCATCCTGGTGCTCTGCGAACGGAATTGCCCGCTTGCAGGGAATTGGCAATTACGTGTTGCAGAGGGCCCCAGGTAGAATAAAATGAAAGACTCGTTTAATCACACGCCGTTTTCGAACAACAGCGTTGGGAATCGATAATACTCCGGGAACACGTGACTGTTTTCAGCGGCAGCTTTGTCAGGACGCGAGCGCTTGTCTGTCGGCCCAGTCTGACGCCCGTCACGGTCAACCAGGACCTGGCTGTCATACAGGACTTAGAGGTCACTGGTCCATTCTATCAGTGACGTCACTTCCTCACGTTACCATACATACCAAACGGTGTTTGCTGGTGACTTTTATGTTGCATGCTATTACGTAGAAACCAGTGGTTGCGGCATGCTTTACTTCCATCCAGCGACTGTGTTAGAGAAACGTGCGCTAATCGAAAATAAAAGCAAACCGCCGAAGGCAGTTTTCCGTGAAATGCTCAGCACGTCTGCCGCTCACTTGCATGGCGCCGGTATTTTTCAGGCGTGCGCTATTTCAACTGCCATGACGCATAGTTTGACATTGGAATTGAGGCTCTTTGATATTAGCTACACACATGATTAAGTCAGCTCACCAACGCAATTACGAACTTTCATGACACAATCTTTGTTCTGCTTCTGTTGGACTAATAAGGCGAGGCTATAATGCCAATTTCCTCTCTTTCTAGATCAAGTTCTTTTTAGCATTTTTGGATGAACCAAAGTTGTAGAAGGAGGTCCTAATCCTTTTGTGAATTCCTAGCTGTTTTTTAGTTGTTAAGTGGACTTGCGAGGAACATTATTCAGATAGATAAGACGGCAGTAATAGCCTTGTTGCTCAGAGAAAGGCCTGGATAATGGGGAAAGGCCTGGATAGGTGTGTTGATATTTTTACAGCATGCCTTTACCAAAGTAATAGCAGAGGCTATTATTTGATGCCACTTCTGCTAATGTTTCGATAAAGCATGTTGCCGAAATATCAACACACCTATATTTCCATTTTCCTAGTATTTCTCGGAGGAATGAGGCTATAGCTATCGTTGTACCTATGCTTTTTCTGCTCGATTTACTTCCCTAGCGTGCACGGGTGTTGAGCAGTACTCAGTCGTTGCGAATCCGTTAAACACTGATAGGTCACTTTAACTGCGTGTGGTTTTGTGCTATTACCGTTTGTCTATTTACGTCAGCCCTGTGCTCGGGACAGCAGTATTTCCAGTGCATCCACACGTATTAGGAGATTTCCCGATCGTAAAATCTTAATATGCCAATGAGCTTTATGCGCGTCCAAGCTATTGCGGCAAACGTTCTCTCAGAAAACCATCAGTTTGGATGCATGCGTTCCTTACCCACGCCTATCACGCCGCAAAGATATTCATATCTTTACGGAAGCGGATGCAGTGAAAGCGCGGCTTGTCTTGCATTGTTCCGATAGCTTTCAGAGGTTATAAACGTCTTACTTTTGAATTCATTTGCCCTCACAAACATTCAGCTTTGAGACTGTTTGAAACAGATCACTGAACAAATTCATCCAGACGAGCATTTTGACCGCTGAACACACATAAAGTGAATGTTTGGCGGTCACACTTCCACTGGTTTCATTACAAACTTGCATGGGGCGTTACATGTTACCACAGACCGGCCGGATCGCGGTTACATGTCGACACCAGACTAATGCCTCGTCCGATGGCCATGACTAGTACTTACAGTAGGTGACAGTCATCAGTGCCTCCACCGTCTCCCCCTTCAGCTTGGAGTTCTTCTTCCCCATGTCGACGGGGTGGAGTTTTCCGGCTGGTGTGCCTCAGCTCGCTGGTCGCCGCTCTCTCGTGCCTTGATACCGTCCGCTGCTTCTCAACGGGGGTCTCGCTTCTACCCGACTGGTTGGTTTATAGACGGCAAGTTTGCCTGTCACCGGTGGAGAGAGCTTCGACGCTGACTCGACTCACTGCGCTGGTTTAGACGGCGGGGAATCCGCGCAGAGCTTCGACGCCGACTCGACTCACTGCGCTGGTCTAGACGGCGGCGAATCCGCACACCAGCCAATCGCAACCGCCTGGCAGCCCGAGGAGAGCGCGGGGCCCCGACCTGCGCTGGACCCGTGGCGCCCTCTGCAGCGAGCGCGCCGTCCGCCACAACACGAGGCGTGACCAGGCCAGGTCAGGTGAGGCGGGGCCGCGTCACCGCGCTGCGCCGTGGGGTGCCGCCGAGCCGGCCGGCCGCGGCTCACGCGTCATGGGAGCCGCCGCTGGCGGGGGGCACAGGGCGGCGGCGGCGGCAGCACTGGCGGAGCGGCTGCCCGCGGCGCCGCCGGCGCCAGTGCGTGCGCCGTGTTCGATCAACCCCGCCGCATCGCTCGTGCGCCGGCAGACTGCGTCGACGGTGACGGGCGACGGCAGGCTCGGCTCCTGCCACCGCCGGTGATGACGGGCAACGATGGGCTCGGCTCCGGCCACCGCCGGCGACTGGGCAGCGCTGGCCCACCGGCCAGCGGGTTGCTTCCGAGTCAGGCGCTTTTGTTGTTCCCTAAGTCATAGCTGCGACCGCTACATGTGTCGTTTGGGTGCGCTTTTGTCTCGGTTTGCGTTACGTGCTACAAGAAGTCAGGCGCGTTGACCCCATCATTCCCCACGGCCCTGGGTTTAGCTGTGCCGTTAGTTAGATGAGTGTTATTCGGAGTCGGAAGCTTAGCTTAGAGATGTCTTGGGACTGATATGCCCAAATTCGTTTTATTACGTTTATCTTATCAGCTTGATGTTGTTCCAGGACACATAAAAATCCATCCGATTTGACTGTCAAACGAAACGTCGACCTTAGCTTAGTTCACACTAATTCGTTTGCCTGCGACGAGCCAAACCGCTTCAAAGCTGTTAATCGTGAGTGCTTCGCGCCGATTGGGGTCCCCTGAGTCGATGAGGGCCACTACATCGGTCAGGCACCACCAGCACCGAACAGACGGTTCTGTGCCGGTAAAGGCCTGAGGGTCAGTGACCTGTTCGTCAGTCTGCCAGTCAGCGGCCCATAGTGCTTAACAGGGGTCTTGTGCTGGCAGGGGACCCCAAATCGGCCCGGGGCAGTGTTCCAGGGCACCGGACCTCACATGACAGACGGCCTTTTGTGGCAATCGGGGCCTTCTGACAATGTAAGGAGATAAGATAGCCTACGATGAGGGTACATGAGACAGTGGAACCCCCAGTGTCTGTCAGGGGGTCAGTACCGAATGGGAGGCCCTTCACCACATTTCAGCAAGGGACCGTAAAGCCGAACTGGAGTCTCCGTCAATCGTTGGTCCCCCGTGTCGATGAGGAAACTCTGCACCAATGAGGGCCTCGGCATTGATTCGGGCCGATTGCTCTGTACATATTTTGTATTTTTTACATTTTGTGTTGGCCGACATTGCAGCTACCTGCAAACAGCTGAATTGGTTTCGATATTGTATTATCATTACCACACAAATCTTTCAGTTAATATCTTATTTTATATATTCTGAAGCCAGAGGTACAACGTGTACGTATCTTACTCTACCTGAGGGCGTCATCCTGTGGCATACCAAGTTCTGATCAACATGAATCACTGCAATATCAGTCTAATGCAACTCAATAGATGCCAAGCGTTTTTGTTTTTCAACTTCGGTGATGTGTGTAGGCATCATTTTCGTAACGAACAACAAATGATAGTATAGCAAGTACCAAAATCGCGGTTAAAGCAACGTTGTCATGCAACGGAAACCCACGTCCGCATGCGATCAACCACGGACGTCATCGACAGTCGTGTCGCCTTTACCAGGATAGATGTGCCCGCTTACAGGACCTACTTAGCGATCGAAGCTAAAAGCAAAGGAGGGACTCTATATAAGCTACAATCAAGGCATGATCAACACTAATCGAAACACATCACCAGAAGCGCTGTCAACCATACGGCCTGATCACCACACTGATCACCCTGACTACCATACGGCCTGATCACCACACTGATCACCCTGACAACCATACGGCCTGATCACCACACTGGTCACCCTGACAACCATACGGCCTGATCACCACACTGGTCACCCTGACAACCATACGGCCTGATCACCACACTGATCACCCTGACAACCACACGGCCTGATCACCACACTGGTCACCCTGACAACCATACGGCCTGATCACCACACTGATCACCCTGACAACCATACGGCCTGATCACCACACTGATCACCCTGACAACCATACGGCCTGATCACCACACTGATCACCCTGACAACCATACGGCCTGATCACCACACTGGTCACCCTGACAACCACACGGCCTGATCACCACACTGATCACCCTGACAACCATACGGCCTGATCACCACACTGATCACCCTGACAACCATACGGCCTGATCACCACACTGGTCACCCTGACAACCACACGGCCTTAGGAAAGCATGTGCAGCCCAGGACATGGGAGCAGCTTTGTCCTCGTAACACTTTTGGTTTGCGCTTGCTTTTTCAAGCCAGGAATATGTTGTATATTTGCCTACATAGCTAAATAGTCATTAACTCATACATGCCCGCGATTTTCAACAAAATATATACATACAATGTGCTGACCTCAAATGAATGAGCGTCATTGTTTCCAAATTTCGAGATAGGGGAACTGCTGAAAAATCGGGAAAACACACTAGGATATGAGTTTTGTTTGCATCGGTAGCAACTGAAAAAGTTCGCGGTACATTGTGCCTTTTGTGAGCTGGCCAAGTTTGACATGTGGCGGCTTAGTGATTTAGATTGCCAAAGATTAACGCATCTTTAGAATCGCGCACACGGATGCACAAAACAGATGCTGAACATGTGCGCCTATGTTCATCCGATGTCCCATAATCCTCACTGAAAAACAAGGCTCTTCCGTAAACAGGCCGGGAGGGGATGTGACGAGTACTGATAAATCCTCACACTGATTCGCCGTTTTCATAACGCCAACGCATGTGGGATCGATGCAAAGCCTGTGTCGCTTCCATGCTAAGACCGATCAATTCTGGTGGAAAAACATGAATCGACCTCAACAAAATCTCAAACAACGTATCTGCTGCAACACTGCACTGTTCCCACCAGGCCGGGTCAACCAGCTGTCTATATTTACGAAGCGATGCCATGAAGTAACGTGAAAATCATATAGACGTGCTCTTTTGTTAATTTGAACATATGAACTTGTAGTTGTGCGCTTTTAGCGTATCTTGACGATGTTCATGTATTTAAATATGTGGTCTCCGTTAATGTACCAGCCCAGTTTTTCCGTGCCCGCCGCGCAGTGTTCGTAAAAAACGTTGCTTTTTGGGAACCGGAAAAGCTAGAGGCAGTCTTGTAACGTCAAACACGCGCAACAAATGCTCTGGCCACTGGAAACTCGAGCGCGATTACACAACACGACGGATAAATATCCTCAGAAAGTCTAGGAAAGTCGCATCGACCCTGCCCCACCCCCACCCCACCCTATTCCACCCAATCAGGGCTCGAGCCAGAAAAAGTCGCCGGCAGGTCGTGATATCATCTAAAGAAGTCGGATAATCGTCTGGAAGTACTGGCCACAGTGTTCGCAGCTGCCAAGACGTGCAGTGGTGCAACAGTGGACGATCGCTGCACGCAAGCTGCGCACTGTCAGCCAGCCGGGTCGCGAGGCGGGCTGCCGTCTCTGCCTTAGGAAAGGACGAACATCTCGGCGGACGTCTGACAGGCCATCTGGGTATCCTCAACTGTACTGGGTGCGTCTGAAATAGCCATAGCGCAAACTCAGTTTTATGATGAAAACGAGTCCGCGTGACAAGCGACGTAGATGGCAACGGTCAGGCCGCGCTATCTTCAAATTGCATGAATTTCTAGCCTACAAAAGCATCAGCGATGGACGGCACGTCAACCGAGGGCAGCGGGACTTACTGATGGTGACCCAGTCGTTGTGGCCAGAGTCTCTGCGGGCGGCGGCCACCGCCTGCTGCAGCGCCATCAAGCAGACGCTACTCATGCAGACAGCTGGCTCGCCGGTGGCTGCCGGCACGCGCAAGCCGGGTCAACCGGCCGTCCCGACGTCAGCTCCGTACCCGGCATTTAACAGACGGCAAACAGCTGAGCCACTAACAACTAATGGATTAAACAATTAAAAACCACAAATAAAACAAGACATAATTGATGTAACGCGTCTAGGACAACAAAGCAGACTTATCATGGTCACTGTACTATCCACATCAACACAACAGGCCAAGCGAAGGTTGTCACAGGGGTCAGGGTCACATTAACGTCAACAGGCAACACGCGTAACAAGCCACCAGGGCCACGAGATGGCCTCTAAACCGAACTGCCTAGCGTCAGTGCGCCAAGTGATAGGTGAACGATAAGTCGTTTAAGTCAGACTGGGCCAGTGAACCCAGCGAAAGGTCGGTCACATTACATCAACCAGGTGACGGGCCGACAGCGAACCAGAAGGTCAACTTCACCAAGTCAGCCAGGTCAGGGTCATCATATCAGCGAGGCTAGCTTTACCGAAAGGTAATACATCGGTCGGTTGGGCCGCTGACCACGCTAAAATGTCACAAGCATCGTCGCTAGTCCCGATGTACTCATGATGCGGTACTCAGGGGTACGCGCCAACGAAGTAACGACGGTACTGTCATGGTACGATGGTACAATGGTACATGATGGTAGTGAAGTAACAGCAGGGTGGGCTGCTGGATCATGAGGAATGGATGAGTTTTAAAGGGCTGCTGTTAAATGACATATTGAGCATCCAATGCCATCAAAAGAGCGACACGTAACACGAAGCAGCGCAGTTCAGTGAACGGAGCGCTTGGGTTTTGGAAACAAGTTTTGTCGGCCTTCGCTCAGAACAAACGGCTGGATTTTATTTGTCCATGATCTGTTCATTTTATGGTGCATAAACATAAGTCGTGCTCACAAGTGCTGCTTAATGAATAACAGTTTGTCTTAGAACAGCCGCAAACTTTACTCGCCTGCAGGTAGTAGCGATGCAGCGTATGTTTCAAATTACCCATTTTCCCTTCAAAGTACATAACTTTCGTCTCATAGACAGCCTCCGTCGCTCCACGGCACATTGTCACTGGTGACTGTTTTGCCGCCATGTCGGCCGCCACCTTGAGTTTTAGGATCGTCTGAGAATTACTCTTGAATGCCTCAGATTTGGGGTGACCGATAACAACATATGGGGTCCGAACAGGGTCGACGGGCGGCCCATCCCACCGAAACATCTGCTGGCGCAGCTTATCAAGTTTGCTTCTGTACCACCTCATACCACTGATCGCACATCATATCATGCATCGAAGGCTACGTAGCCGTGTAGGGGCCTCCCCGCTACCTCCCAAGGAGGCTTGTAACTCTGGAACCGATATCCAAATGCGCCTCACCTGAGAGCCAGATGGCGCTGGGCGCATGGATCTGCTACATCCTCTCAATAGCCGATCACCGTATCGCGTTCGAGCCTAGTGGCCGCACTTACTTAGGCTAGGAAGCTAACCTTGCATGGGCACAGCTTTGTCAGCGCTGGCTATCCTTTGCGCCGTACTGTGACTGCGTCCCACACCATGTACAAGCATTTTTAGGGTTGTTTTGGAGCTCTCTATCGTTATCTGGTGGGCCTTTGATGTCAACGAAGCCATGCTCTTAGTCTGCTACGCATCTACCGTGTTTCCGGTTTTTGACAGTGCCAGAATAGCGCTGTTCTGGCCCTGAAAGGTCTTTCACCAAATGCCGTGGCATCACTTTTCCATTAGCTCGTGCGTATGGTAGAACGTTCTGCCTCAGTGTTTTTTAATCTGGGTAAAATCTTGAACTCGGGTCGAAATGTTCCATTAATGCACGCGTTAGCAGCTATAAGGACAACAATGCGACTGAAATTTGTAGAAACTTTTTTGGAGTGCATTTGTTGCTGTGGAAGTTTTGCAGCCACTCGTAGAACCGATTGTTCACAAGTGACATTTGAGGCAAATGGCACATTTCAGAATAAAAATTGATGTTCAGAACGACTAAATGATTGTTGAAAACTGACATGTGAGGTAAAATGACCCATTTCAGAAAAAAACATTACTGTAGATAACGAAGATTGTGCATGCCACTTCCTTGTGACGGCTTGGCTGAATGAAGTATTTAATTAACATTTCATAACTTTCATGCCTTTTCATTATCTAAACGCGGTTTACTCCACGTCAGAGCCATAATTTGACCGAAAGAATGGCTTCAATTCATCTCAATCTCTGTCGCACAGGAGCACTTAGCAAAAAGCAGAACACACTTGGGCCGGAATGGCTTCCAGAGTCTTGGTCGTTATTAAATGTTTGCCCTCAACCTCCGGTTTAAGGCAGAAAGTTGCAACAGCGACCAAGGCCCTGGATTTTTTGCCGGTCCTGTACGGTATTACATGCTCCACGTACGCTGGGTCAAAACGGGAGATTGGCCGCTGTCGATGACTGTTAGACTGGCATTGCATTTATTCAGCCACAAGAAAATAACACACGCAAAGCCGTTATCTTTGTCGATACCACCTCCAGTCAACAAACAAACGTTCCTGTATTCCAATTCACACCGCAGCCGCTGAAGCTATGCTTCAGCCATTTTAGAAAGCTCTGTAAGTCATCGCAATGTATCCACATTACCTTTGGAATTGAAGATGCCGATGTCGTTTTTATTGTTCTTCAGCAGCTTCACTCTGAAGTCCCTCGGCATGTCCTTGTGCGTTGGTGGGTAGTAGTTCTGCAGTATGCGTCAATATTTACAGCTATGAGTAATAACGATGATAACCGAAAGAAGACATGGCAATAACACAACTACCATTGCGCGCTGTTTGAAGTAGCAACATTCAGCTAACCAGGGAATGAACCAAATGTTTGAGTACGAGAATATGGAGAAATGATTCAAAATTACCCGTGAAATACTCTGAATTATTCTGCATGGTCCAGAATTCATGCTATTACGAGCATATCAACCGAATAGTCTCATGGTAGCCTAATCATGGGTGGGATGAGTGTCTCAGGGCATATTGGAGGTCGGCTATTTTCGGCACTAGAACTCGCAGTGGTAAGAAAATAGTCAGTCAGTGCACAGGTAGGTACTGGTAGACTTGCAAGATACAAAAAGATCATTTTGTTATACGCTGAAAGAAAGGGATTGAGACGTTTGTGACATGAAATATAAGAAAAGCAGCACCAAGCGCAGATTTTGTATTATTTTTTGCGTTGTAGTACTGTTCTATATCCCTACGCATGACTATCCAAAACTGGTGAAACACAGAGATCATAATGCGTCTCTCATTCGCATCCAGAAAGAGTTTATACGTTTTGCAACTTGCCAAGACACACGCTGACCGCTCAGTCATTCCAACCAAATGACAGCGTGTCTTCACCTTTGTCGGACGAACAACTTCAGCTCGCTTGCCCTTGCTGGTACGTGGACACATGCCACCAGCGTTATCGTTACATAAACGGCAAGAAAAGACAGAGGCTGATATTAACAGCATTACAGATGCAGCCTATGATGTGATGGCGGCATTTCCTGCGATGACATTACACGAAATGTCCTGGTGAGTCGCACCACATGTTTACTTTAAGATGCTGAAAAATTCTGAGAATACCCGAAACATGACAACTATACATCCAGGAGAGGCGTATGTTTTATATGTGTTCTCGATGTGGTCTCCGGAATGCACCGGAATGCACCCATGTCTCCGGAATGCACCGGAATGCACCCATGTCTCCGGAATGCACCGGAATGCACCCATGTCTCCGGAATGCACCCTTCGCGCACGAAGCAGCTATCACAAATGACTCTACTCATCGTATTCTGGGACTGCGAAACACTTTCAGCAGCGCTTGTGCCTATACCGGCCCTTTCTGCTCGCCGTGTCAACATATAAATGGGATTTATCGGTGGACTTTACAATCTGACACATTTTGAAATTTGCTGTTCATGTAAGTTTGCCACGCATGTGGTGTTTGTGTATTGTGATTTATGGTCTTGTATTGACAAAATGCTTAATCCGTGACGAGTTATCAAACCTGTCACTGTCATTGATATTTAAGTCAATACATCAACAAGAAATAAAAACAGCTTGTGGTGGGGCCGATTCAGAGAAAGCAAAGGTCCTTACCCAGGCCCGGTTGGTGAGCTTCTGGCCTGTGGCCGGATCGTAGCGGTGCCGCTCTGTCAGGAACAGGCCCATGCCCATGGCGAAGGAGCCCTCGATCTGTCCGACGTCGACCCAGGGCGAGAGCGACTGGCCGGCGTCCTCGTACAGGTCCACTCGGTTGAAGCGGTTCTCCCCAGTGAGCACGTCCAGCTCCACCTCGGCGGCCGTCAGCCCGAGCACAGAGTACCCGGCCGGTTTGGGTGCCTGCCTGTGAACGGTGTCCGAGCGCCTGCTCAGTCGAACGCTTTCATAAAGTCGCTGATAGGTGGTCGGAGACATAGAGGTCATAGACGTTATGGAGTCGCTGTCTGATAGTCGTAGACATAGAGGGAACCCTTTCCAAACGTCGCGGGACATGTCAAGTATGTAAAAAATGCACATCTTCAACTTAAGTGGGCAGTGATGAGGGTGTTTACGGTGTCCATTATCTCACGAGTTGGCACGTTGTTCTGTAGCTCCCAAAACCAGGCTAACCCGTGCTTTGCCTGCTAATGGATACACGCTCGCTGTTTTGAAAGTGTGCCAGCCTGGTACGTATGAAAGGCAGGTTTTAAAAAAACTGGATGTTCTTAAACGAAAGCTTGGAAGACGTCCATGCTGGAAATGACAAATTATCCAGGCTGTTAAACCGAGAGCTCTTCAGTATCTAAAAGCACCTCAGATGTTAGGGCCATTTATCAAACCGACAGGTGCAAGGGCGAACTGATATATGCTAGTCGGTGTGACGGCTAGTTCGACGATGATTCGTTCTCGGAAACAACAATTCCAGTAAATTTAAAGTGATTTTTAGGTGGATGCAAAACCATTTGAGAAAGAACTTGTCACTGCAGTGAGTACTTCTTTTTTCTTAGTGACCCTCCATGTGTCTCACTTTCTCGTTTCCACTTTGCCTTCCTTGTGTTTTCATATTTGTTCAGGAGCTGGCTACTACATGCATTGTTTTGAGAAGCTGATCGATTCTAGGTTTGCGGGCCAAGGGGATGTCTTAACACGAAGCGCACGGTACAACTCACACCAGCAAACACACTTTCGTATGGAATAGGCTATGAGGGTGACACAAGCAAACGCACTCTTGCGTGAGGTGGATGGCGAACACGAAGCCAACACACAACCGCACATGGAGCGTGTGGCTAAGTTGACACCTGACATCAGCAGTTGAGCCCTTACACGCAGTGGGCGCTGAGGTTGACGCCCCCCTTGCCGGAGGCCATCTGGACCACCTGCAGCCAGGGCCGCTGGGGCTCGCCTTCGGCCGCGCGGAACGGCTTCAGTCGCTCTAGCAGCTGCTGGCAGGCCGAGCGGGCCGCCATGCAGCACCACTCGCTGCCGATGCTGCCGCCCGTCACGGTGCTGCCGGGATTGGCCAGCGAGTTGTTCGGCTTGACGGAGACTTGGTCGAGTGGAACACCGAGCTCGCGCGCCACCACCTGTGCCACCTGGCGGGCATGCCGACGAGCGCAGCTTAGCAGATCTGCCGTGGCCAGGGCGCTACAGTTCCCAGCAATTTCAAGCAGAGAATTCGTGTTATGACGTATACATGACTGACAGCCGAACGGCATACAGTTCTCAGGGCTAACAATACCTGGCGATAGCCGGAAGGCTTGCTGGCCACAACTTTGAGTTCATGTTAACACACCGGACCAGGACGATAGTACGAGTAATACCTTATCGTTGATACTAATTAATTGCTTCAATGCTCATTATCGCTGTGATCAATTTTTTTCTCGAAGTTATGGCGCTGGAAGTTGTCTCAAAGCTAATGAATGTCGCTAATCTCGGTAAGGAAATGCACCTCAAAAGGTTTTCCAGACTCCTCTCTCATTTATGTCGCGCTGAAGTGGATTGCCATCGTACTCATGATATTTGCAAGGTCAGGCCATGCCTCCTTGTAAACCAAGCGCTTTAAATCATAAAAGCACACACTTCATGACCTTGAAAGACCATTCTAACCCCATTCTACCGCCTGCACATATTTCATAAAGATTTCCAACAGCTATTCCACGCCGTCTCCTGCATTATCGTAGCATGCTTGGTTCTTGAGAAAACAGAAGGGTCTATAAGGTGCTAATCAGACCCAATTTACATCATTTCACCCGCAAAAGAGGCGGCTCTCTGCGAAATCGACCCATCCAATACCCCCTCAAATCATGAACTTTGCTGTAGATTGTTAGATGGGATTATCTATGGTACTGAAGTTAGATCTGGTAACTTAAATTCCAACAGGTCTGGGGGGCAAAATTAAGAGCCTGAGGAAAGTCGTAAGTCACTCCGGAACTAAGTCGCCTACGAAACTGAGTATTTGTATTTCCTCAAAATAAGTCATGTTGCGTTTTCTTGATGATCAAGTTATGAAAACGGTTTGCTCTTTTCCTAAACCTCAAATTGAACATGGTAGAAGGCCATGCCTAGGCCAAAAATCGACAAGTAGCACCTTTGCCCTCAGCCTGTCTCAGCGACAAACTCGTTGTAACGGCACACACGCTATGCATGAATTGTTGGATAGTTTTAATAGGCCGCTGAACTTTGCTGGTCAGATGGAAATTCTAAGCTTTTGGCTGGCCGCTATGTGTTTCTAGATAGCTGCCTGCAAATTAACATTTTGTTGAGCAGGTCTATTCACGCAAATAAGCTGGAAAAGACGGCACGCTGCAGTCATGTAAGCAGGTAAATTAATGGCTCATTTTTGGTACCAACGTCCGATAGTTTCGGGAGCAGAATGTGGACGCTCGGCTCGCGATCACAAATTTCGTCTGGGTAACATTGACATAATACTTTTGGCGATCATTCAGCCTAGCTTGTTGATTGACATTATGGCTTAATGGCAAGACATCTTTAGTAAATTTCCCAAGCATTATATCTATGTCTGTACTGCGATGGCCAGCAATTTAAAATAGCACAAGGCTTTAACTGGCCGCCGGCAGAACAGATCAGTTAAGCCTCACTAAAAGTATCAGCGGTGTTAACTACAAAAATACCTTCAAATTCAAGCTTCAAATAAAGATGTGAGCATTGCAGCAGTCCCTTCAAAACACGTCCAGATTTGGAGGACCCTCCACATTCTCACGCTTTCTTCACTCTCCAATCGTAAAACCAGCCGAGTTCTTCCGAGCTTCTACATCTATGATGACGGCCTATTAAGAGTACCAAGCCTGAACAAATGCATGACATCCTCCCCACGGTTTCCATGGTAACCATATGCACGGCGATCAGCGAGGAAACAAAACACAAAGTTAGGGATTCCATCACGCCGTTACTTCTTTCTGAACAACTTACTCGGCGTGACAGGAGGACAGGGGAAGGGGGGGGGGCGGGGTGATGCGACGCTCCAAATCCGTAAGATTTTCTGAAATTCCAGTCCAGCATATTGTGCGGCTTCGTTTAAATCTTCAGTTGCCTCTAGGGTATCCATTGCGCGTGTTTTGACACCAAAAACGTGTCCTGGCATTTCTGATTTTGGAGAAGCGAAGACGTTTTTTAGGGGCACTGCAAGACGATCCACTACCGGCGGGGGCGGTGGGCGGCGACCGACGATCCTGCGGGTCGCGCGGAGGGCTGACACTGCTACATTAACGAAGTCCTCCATTATAAATGAAGACTAAGAATAGATACAACTCCTAGCTACTACACTCACCTTTCCACCGAAAATACGCATCTTTATATTTCATGCGTCTACGCCGCATGATTTCGTACACATGGATGTTCAACGCTGAAATAGGTTGAGTTTCAGGAAAATTTGACCACAGAGTTAATCTAGAAGGTTCAATTAACAACATGGGATCTCTTACCAATTGCGAGTTGCTGTTGAGAAAACTCAATGTTTTTTTTTTCTCCGAGGTTCTACCTTTCTAAGTTTCCAAACGGCAGGATGTCACCGGCCCCCCCTATCAGTGTGTGCTATGAAAATCAGCGAAACAGGTTAGGGGTTAAACCTGTCCGCTACCATCTTTTTCATTGCTTTTACACCTGTCGATGTAAAATTTGCACTTGGACTCATATATCTTTCACCTGGTTCACCAGAATGACATATAGATTTGTGAGTTCACACAGATTTACACGGCGTGCTACAACTTTGTTCCTTTTCAACATTAACCCATCCCCATCGGACCACATTACCGTTCACCCGGGCTCGTGTCAATCCTGTTCTGGCTGGAGTGGGGAAGGGGGGGGGGCAGATTCCGACCAACTATCGCATAACTTTCCGGTCACGTGACCTAACTGGAAAACTGCTGAGCCGCGGCGACACTCAGCAGACGTAAGAGCACCAGTTGGGACGCGGCGCTAGTGGCGCCTCCCACAGGCGACGAGACCGGAAACATGCGAGGCAGCGACGGCAGGCCGGGTCCGTCCGAAACAGCGGCAGCGTTGCAGCTAGGACGGAAGCTAAATTACATCACATACAGGCGATGCTGGCGTCAACAGACGACGGACTCTGCTCTGCCCTGGTCTGGTCTGGTCTGCTGTGCTCTGCTTTGTCCCCCTCTCTCTCCCTCCCTCCCTCCCTCTCCCTCTCCCTCTCCCTCTCTCTCTCTCTCCCTCTCTCTCTCTCTCTCTCTCTCTCTCTCTCTCTCTCTCTCTCTCTCTCTCTCTCTCTCTCTCTCTCTCTCTCTCTCTCTCTCTCTCTCTCTCTCTCTCTCTCTCTCTCCCTGCGCTGACCTTGGTGTTCAGGCCCTGGCCCATCTCGACACCTCCGTGGGACACGGCCACCGTGCCGTCGTTGTCGTATATGGAGACCAGAGCAGACATCTTGGCCATTGTGCCGACTGGGTACAACATTGGCAACAGTGCCAGCGACCGCTTACGCCAGCGGTTGGCCTGAAACGGGACAGGGCAAATTGCAATCATTGCAGGGTCAAAAATTACCTGGTCAAACTTGCTGAAATGCACTTCATTCGTGTTTCTGAGTTAATCAAAATCCTTGAATAGATTTTGTAGCAGTATGCCTGGGTGGAGGTAAATGGTTTTCTATTCAACTGGGGGGCAATTTCGGCTCCAACGTCAAACATAAATGAGCCAAATCCAGCTGAAATGTTTATTGGGGTGTATTTTGGGTAAGTATGTAGTCATTAGGTATTGGTCCGCACACCGCCAACCTATCTTTCGAAACTACGCCCCTGCTTAGGTGTTGCTACTCAGATGCGATCTCTACCTGGTACCGTTTGTCAAATAGTTCGGCTGGGACCGGGCGAAGATTGCAGAGAATGAGGAGTATTTTATGTCTATTCTCGCAGTGGAACACCGTGACGTTTTGCTTGTTACCGATGCTATTTTAAGTCTAACTTAATGGCCTAAGTCCGGCGCAAAGCTCCACAAGTTTTCTCGGGGGGGGGGGGGGGGGGGGGGTTCCCTGCATTTCTCTCCGTTCCTAGCATTGGCCCAGACCCGAACAGAGCATGTCGAATAAGTACACACTTCATGACAAGTGTCTTATTATTTCATGTCAACTACCGTATGACGAAAGCACAAAGAAGTCCTCGGAAATGTCCCCATAAACTCTCCTCTGGGACCACTACAGATGCACACGCAGATACAAGTCACAGATGCACACGCAGATACAAGTCACAGATGCACACGCAGATACAAGTCCAGTTCATGGCTGTTTACCACATAGAGGCTAATACCTTATTGAAGGCGTTTATCTCAGCTTTTCTCTGCTTGATGTCGCCTTTATCGAACATCTCGTTGATCATCATGGAGAACACCTTGTTGTCCTGTTCGGTGCCCATTGGCGTGCTACAGCGGAAAATTTTAGTAAGCCTGCCATTTTCAAGCTGATTCGGTGGTTGTTTGTGAACACCTCAAACAAGGCAACGTCAGTTTGATGTAAGTGCACTTTAAACAATCAGATGTAACAAATGCAAAAACCTGATCGATTAGCATAGGAGGCAACTGAACGACGCTTTTATTTTCGTTTATTTTTGCAAGCTTACCTTTTTTGCCTTCATGTTAACCATCGTCAGACACGACATAAATCCCGTATTACACCTTTCACCGTGCTTCCAGTACTTACGGCACTTCGGCAGTGGGGAGAGCGAAGTTTGCCTGTCGCACCTCCCAGGGGTCCTTGTTCAGTTGGTGGGCCACGTGATTCATCACCATCTCTATAGCAGCGATGGCGTTTGTGGTACCTGCGCAAGGCGGCAGGAAATGGAAAGGCATTAATGCGCGTCAAAGACGAATCCAGGAGTATGTTGATTAATCAGGTGATTCGATTAACAGCATGCTACTGGTGCCGGCTACTACAGAAACGGGCAGCCCCTAGTACTTATCGTTGATCATCAGGAAATGGGTGCATCGATTTCCATTAGTTAGGCAGCGTTTCACAGGCGGTGAAGCTATCAAGTGCCGACATTTATAGGAAAACGTTGTTTGGCGTTCAGGCAGCGAAATAGGGCAGGTTTCATCGGTAGCTGGTAAGCATTTGAAGACATGCAACACTGTTCTGGATAGTACAAAATACGAAGAGAAGACTGCCAATGTCACCTTTCTTAAAACCACCTCAGCGAACAGACAGTGAGCCACGCATCATCATCTCCGGCTTATTCAGCGCTCTCAGACGCTGCCGTCGCCTTCTTCGGCTTGTAAGCCGGGTCTCCGCCCGCCTGGCGTGTCGGATGTGTCACTGGTGACCCTCCACTTTACTGACGTGTCGGGTGTATCACTAGTGACTCTCCGCTCGCCTGGCGTGTCGGACGTGTCACTAGCGGCTCTCCGCTCCCCGGGTGTGTCGGGTGTATCATTGGTGACTCTCCGCTCGCCTGGCGTGTCGGACGTGTCACTAGTGACTCTCCGCTCGCCTGACGTGTCGGGTGCATCACTGATGATTCTCCGCTCGCCTGGCGTGTCGGACGTGTCACTAGCGGCTCTCCGCTCGCCTGACGTGTCGGGTGCATCACTGGTGACTCTCTGCTCGCCTGGCGTGTTGGATGTGTCACTAGCGACTCTCCGCTTGCCTGGCGTGTCGGACGTGTCACTAGCGACTCCCCGCTCGCCGGGCGTGTCGGACGTGTCGCTAGCGGCTCTCCGCTCGCCTGGCGTGTCGGATGCATCACTGGTGACTCTCCGCTCGCCTGACGTGTCGGGCGTGTCACCAGCGCAGGGGCGGGACAGCGGCCTGCGGCGGCCGTACCTGGAGCGCGGCAGGCGGTGGACATCGGCTGGTTGGTGGTCACCGTGCCGGGCGTGACGCTCCAGTTGTCCGCGCGGTATACGCTCTTCACCATGTGCATGACGTGGCTCGGCTCGATGAAACTCAGCACCGTGTTGGTGTAACCCGCGTTCGCTATCACGTGCATCTTGAGCCCGTGGATTTTGCCAGTGTCGTCGAAGCCAGCCTGCCGTTTGCGCACTCGGTGATAGTGGTGTAGGGGGCACCGGCGTCGCTACGCTTCTTTAAACAAAATAACCAGCTGTTATTCGCGTGCAATGGAAGGTCTTCACCATCAAGACAGTGCGGACTGGGCTAGGTGACGTTTGGTAGTTCATTCAGAGTGCACATTCATTCATGAATTGTTGGCAAACACAAACGGGAGGACGTACAAAAATGGGGCAACCCAAAGTTGTCTGGGCGGGTCGTTAACAAAAACACGTATAAATAGTTCTAACAGATTTTTGCGATCGGGTGTTGAGTCTGAACGCAACATGTTCACAACATGTGCCATGCAACACGGACGGAAATAAGACATGAGCATATGAGCACAGTTACAGCCGTGAATTTACCCAAGAGAGGCACAATAACACATGTCTTTTTCGTGGTCAAATATGCCCAGGAGAGATCCCGTTTTGGTGTAGGATAAAATGGCCACCCACAAGCATCCTAGTCACTGGTAAATCATGCACACGTCGAACACGCGTTATCCAACTGCAACTAGACAATATGGCAAATTATTTCACCTTTGGCTTCCCCGATTCCTACCACAGCTAGAGCCCAGCCGAGGGCCTGGGCGAGCTCACCTCGGTCGAGACGAGGTAGGGAACCCGGCCGAGAGCCTCGGCGAGCTCACCTCGTACGAGACGAGGTAGGGCACCCGGCCGAGAGCCTCGGCGAGCTCACCTCGTGCGAGACGAGGTAGTGCACCCGGCCGAGAGCCTCGGCGAGCTCACCTCGTACGAGACGAGGTAGGGCACCCGGCCGAGAGCCTCGGCGAGCTCACCTCGTACGAGACGAGGTAGGGCACCCGGCCGAGAGCCTCGGCGAGCTCACCTCGTACGAGACGAGGTAGGGCATCCGGCCGCTGCACATGGCGATGTTGGTCTCGATGTCGAGCACAATGCGCACTGGCTTGTTGAGACGGACGGCCGCCAGGGCGGCGGCGGCGGCGATCGGCATCGGATTGGTGATCTTGCCGCCGTAGGCACCGCCCAGACGACGCACCTCTGAGTTGATCCTGCAGGATGATGCAGCCCATAGGGGTCATCATCGGAGCTCATCATCAGGGGTCCTCCAGGGTTCATCCAGCGAGCAGGAGAAGCGTGACAGGGACAGGTTCGGTCTTTCATCGGCGTGACAGGGACAGGCTCGGTCTTTCATCGGCGTGACAGAGACAGGTTCGGCCCTTCATCGACGAGACAGGGACAGGCTCGGATTTTTCATCGGCGTGACAAGGATAGACTCGGTTCTTCATCGACGTGAAAGGGACAGGCTCGGTTCTTCATCGGCGTGATAGGGACAGACTTGGTCCTTCATCGGCGTGAGAGGGACAGATTTGGTCCTTCATTGGCGTAATAGGGATAGGTTCGGCGCTTCATCGACGTGACAGAAACAGGCTCGGTTCTTCACTGGCGTGACAGGGACAGGTTCTGCACCTCATCGGCGTGACAGCGTCAGGTGGCTATAGACCTTTCTAAGGTACCGAAAAGAAGAGGTGAGAACGTTCTGCTCCCAGGACCCGACTGCTCAGTCACATGGGGGATCGGTAGTTGGGAACGAACAGCTCCCTTCATATCGTCGGGAGAGGCTTGTAATGCGTTGATGAATGAAAGATATGATATGGTAGTGCATAAATATACAGCAGCTCTTATCTTCATGAAAGGGCTCTCCGAAAACGAAAAGGCAAAAAATGTGGAACGGAAACAAGTACCGGTCTTTCACGGGAGCGATCAAAAATACTGATGAGCCCAAAAGATTGACCACTGATCATACACATCACGGCTTTTCAAGCCAAATTTAGCATTTGTCTGTGTTCGCCAGGCTTCAGATCTCGCGGCTGGATTAACCACAGCTTTATTTATAAATTGCCTATTTACACCACCATCTTAAAGTGTTGCATTCATGTTATAGAAGTTTTGCGTTTAAGGTATACACGAGATATTTTCTTGCATTAATGAGCCCATAATGCTAATAAATAAACGCCGGATGAATGCAAGGATCCCTGGTGAGCGACTGTACAGTACCTTGTGGCCATATAGCAATTAAATTTGGCCGCGCGATAGACTTATGCGTGGTTTCTGCGGTACTACAATAGTAAGAAATAGTTGTTCCGAACGATCATTCCAAAACAACCCCTCCCTTTGACAAACTTTAAAACGCATGCACGCTCACGCACACACACGCACGCGCAGCTTCCGAACTGAGCCTCACTTGTTGGCAGGAATGTTGACGACGCCCGAGATCACGTCGACCACCTCCTTATTGGCCTGGGCGGCGCAGAAGACGTTGAGCTGTCCGTCCTCGCAGGGGACCACCCTGACTGACTGCGTCTCCATGGTGAAGTGGTACTGCGAGGCCATCTCCCACTCGCCCTTCAGACGGTGCGGCGCACTGTTCAGGCCGGCTGCGGCACATGGTATGACATGGGAGACGGTTTGCGATGTGCTTTGCTCATATTGTGTATAAGGAGGGCGAAGTGACCGGTGGGTAAGAAGCGACGAATGTAGGCTGATATAAATTTGCCGCCTTTTTGCCGCTGACGCCTCTCGTGCAACCACCATAGTATGAGAGCGAAGGGCATGTAAAGGGCAAGTAACAAAGACATGGCAAGGACAACTAAGACGTGCGCGGCAACACACAGTGCAGGCTGTGTCATTCGTCTATTTTTCAACTGTCTGTTGTTAGGGGTGCCAACATATCCCTCACCGTATGTCTACGACGGTCCCTTTAAGATTTCCTGTTCGGCTCACATTAACGCAATTATGCTGATTCCGTAATAATTAACGCAATTATGCCGTTACTATTCCTCTCACCGACCAGTGTCCCCCACACGGCCTCGTCAGTTGGCACCGACCAGCCCCGCTGTCATTGTCTCCTCCCTCGTCCTCCCCGCCCACACCATCCCAGCTCGAACTCCACACCTTCCACATCTCCGGTGGTTAAGTTGGCTGGCACGAACTTGCTCTGCTGCCTGCCCTCTGGTTGTTTCTCCAGCGCCTGCCTGATGGTGAGCACCGGTGGCGCCACCTCGGCGTACTCGACTCGAACTAGCGCTGCCGCCTTCCGTGCGATCTCCATGGTGTCGGCCACCACGAGGCCAATGGGCTGCCCGCAGAACTGCACCCTGTCCTCGGCGAACACCTGCCGAGATAGGCCGGAGTGTTGTCAAAGCAGACTCAGCTGTCAAAAGCAGTGACAATGACAGCCAACCAAAAGCAGAATGGCTGTCACTCTCTGTGAACACCCATCACGTAAGCAGCAATGTATACAGGATTTTTTTCAATGGGCATAGCACATCTCGAAATTTTGCAATGACAAGCCAGCTCAGCGCGCAGAATACGTGAGAATTGTTTGCACGTCGCAAAACAACATGGATGTTTTCGATTCGTTTACTTTGACATTTTTACCTCAAATTGGTACTTGTCAACATTTATTCACGCCCATATCTATACACGTAATCCACCTGATAACGGGGTGGGGGGGGGGGGGGGAGATACGTGTTCCCCGGGGATCACTACATGGATATGCCCACGCGTACCACGTCCACCATACAACGTACACACCTGATAGGTGTGTACGTCACAAGCGCCTTTACATGACTGCGTAATGAACGATTGGCTCACGGCGAAAAATGTTAGGCAAACTCAGAAAAGTACGAAACCGAAAAAGTGGTGTCAAGACAACCGGCACTGTACGTAATTTGATGCCCAAGACATGTATTGATTATGATCAAATATGTTTTAACCAATGTTAAACAACTCGCGCTATACTCATGAGCTGGAATGGAATTTGCGTTTTTTCATCAGGGTGGAGACCTATGAGCTTTACCCATCCTTTCCCTCAGATATATTCTTCACCAATTGCATCCACTTCATCCTGGCCATAAGTTTGGCTTTATAAAAAACAAAGGCATTCAGCTCTTCGTTTTTCGGTTTGGCCTGTTCAAGGCCATTATGTTGACGACCCTCAATGCGTCAAAGAACGCGAAAGTTCCAAACATCGACTTTATTGATGGTACTTAATATTTCGAGCTGTGTTCATTCTATAGAGCTCGCGTTTTGAGGATGAGCACAGGACATCAGATAGGGGTGGGTATCTTCGTTATACTTCTTCACATACGTGTTACAGGTTCCAAAAATGTGATGTGGTTTATCGCCCTGTTTTGCTTCCAATACGATTATTTGCTGCAGCAGAACCAGACGCTAGTTGCCTATATTACCTCCATTTCACAGTGAGCACCGCTCGTGCCCACAAACGGTGCCATTTCGATAAGTCTGGTTCGATTACCCCCAGATTAGTCTGGGTCATACTTTACCTTTATAGTTTTAAAACCGTCTTTGAACAGATTAACAGTTAGAGCAGCTTGAAGATAGAGATTCTACCGTTACTACTCTAGTTTATCAAAAGATTACAGCAGTTCGTAGCGTTGTAAATGCTAATTCATCCCCAGCATCAACCTGAAAATTGCAACAGTCATTTATACGGATTGAAATACCTCCTTAGCGAACGGACTGATGTCATCAAGCCTCTAAAGGTACTCATTTCAGATACTGTGGTTTTCGTCGACCTATTGGCCGCCGCCTGGTGTCAGCCAGCGGGGAGGGGCTAATACTGTGGCTTACGATTCGGACAGATGGCTGAATATTACCAGAGGTAGTCGGGTTGGTCATGTCAACGCGAGTTTTGACACCATTTCGACCTAGTTTACGTTCTCGGATTCGTCAATATCTCTACATAGTCCCGAAAAAATCTAGCAATTCCCTTGAGTGCTGCTGGTTTCGAAGTCCGCTGAACCGCTGCAATATGGCCATTGCCAGCAGGGATTTCGATGTCGTCATTGAACGCCATGCTTTTACATATTACAGGCTTCAGTACACCAATGCAATCGCATCTCTCGGTAGCTTCTGACTTCTGTTTCCGTCAAAGATACAAATCAAAACTAAAACGAAAAATTCTTGTCCCTCAAAATTAAGTAGGCTATATCCAATGATTTCTTAGGGCCTCTCACCAACAAAGGACCATTTGTTAACCCGGTTCTCCCCCCCCCCCCCCTCCCATTACGAACCCTGTGACTTTGTCCCTGTGACATGCATATGCCGATGTCGTTAATTCACCGTTGCAAGCACAGCCGGTGACGCCATTTATAACTCTGAAGGTGATCCCTCCAGAAGCTGAGTCATTTTCACCGTTTTCCGGGGTTAGTTTTGGGCCTTGCGATCTCTAATAAAAATGGCGTCCTGGTATAACATGGAAAATCCTGGAAAAGCAGTTATCACTAATGGGTCTTATTGACAACAGCGTTGACAATTTCATATACGCCAGAGAAGTCTTCAGGTCCCGGCCTTGGCATCATGAGTTCAGAGCTCCTAGTATGTGAACAGTCATCGACTGTCAGTAAGTACTGAACAAGCGTAAAAAGAAATGTGTAATAAGTGTTGGAAATAGAGCTTATGTTTGCTTGATAAGGTCGGCTTATCCCGTGCCTCCCGGTATATTGAAGGTCGATAGCTGTTAGTAGAAACACTCAGGGCTCACAACAGCGTTGCCAACTTTCTTTGGATTTTTCAAGTTCCATAAGCGGGCACTAGGCCCATCGATTATAACATACTGACAACGGGTCGGAGTGGGAATGGTCCTGAAAGTATAATTCTGTTGCAAATATAGGGGTGCTCGAAATAAAAAGTATGCCTCTGAGCCTGTTTTATTCAGATCCTACCTCCTGAGGCATCATTAATTCTACATTGATGCCCACCTGGCTCCTCAGTTTATGTGATGCTCGAATCACACCAGTTTTGAAGCCTTACTTTTGATATTCCAGCGGCCACAGGTTCCTGCTAGGCACGGTGAGTATGTCATAATCTGAATATACCACGATGGGAAAGGCCTGTATTAGGATTCAATGCCAGTGCGCAGAAGGTTTCGAGAAGAGAAAGAAGTTTTTCTTGACCTGTTGTGCTCAAGACCTACCTGCTGAGGCATCATTGATTTCTCATCCATGCCCAGGAGGGGAATGTATGCACGGAAGGTTAGGTAGTTGTTACTGCCGATGACGTCACTGGCTGTGAGGACGGCACGGACGCCTCTCACCGCCTGTGAACGGACACAAACAAACAGCTGACGATTGGAATGCACACGCTCCACGTGCACACGATGCATTTTAAACAAACGTCCCTCACAGTCTCAGCGCCCCGAGCTAACCTATGACAATTCATCACTCCCGGCTGCGACAGGCGTGAAACGGACATTTACAAGCACAGAGGTGAGCCGTGGAGAACAGAGAGCACGCCCGCCGGACTCGGCCCGCCAGCGGTGGCGCTGACCGACGGCGGGGCACCGGCGGTCGCTGTCCCATGGTGACAGTCCTCACCAGCGCTGCCAAGGTGTTGATGGCGTCGACCTTGGCGCTGCCCACCGTGGCCAGCACGTAGTAGCCGTGCAGCTCGCCCGGCGCCGCCGGCTGGTCGCCCACGTACTCGGCTTCACCTGAGGCCGGCGCAGCGTCACCCCAGCCGTCCACCCAACAAACGTGTCTTCTCACTAAGGGTCGGGGTGATAGGAGACTCGCGGCTTCTAAACGCCGCCAGAGGGTTGTCTCTTTGATTGTTGCTTCACTTCCAGAAGGCGTGACGTATCGACGTAGGAGACAGGCGTGACGTTAAGAATGCGACTTAGACTACTCGCTTGGAATGCGAATGGCCCTCGTCATGTTAAAACCGAGATCGGCCGTGGCATGAGTGATTGACTGCAGCGGCGGCCGAGCTGGCGGCCATGAGCCACTCCGCGCCCGCGACCACCCCGAGACCGATCCGATGAGATCGATCGACGCACCGGGCGTCTGGGTCTGCCGACCACCCCGAGATCGATCCGATAAGATCGATCGACGCACCGGACGTCTGGATCTGCGCCTCTAGCTTGGGCACCGCCTGGTTGACGGGCCAGAGCTTCTTGTCCGTGTCGAACTCCTGCGTGCCGCGCGCCAGCGGACGGGTCAGGTCCTCACCCCCGGACCTGAGGCGGGCTGGCACCCGGTCGCCCAGCGTGTGGAGAACCATCTGTAGATGAGGCGGACACGTCCCAGTCAGCCGAGGCAGGAGTCTGTGGAGCGCAGCTGTAGTCGCGGTTAGAGGCGCTCCAGGAACGAGGCGGGCTAGGAGAACAGTCGCAGGCAAGAAAATGCGTGGCGACCGCGGCAAGCCTGCAAGTGATCTGCAGAAACATCGCGACGGCTGATACTTTCAGTTTGGTGGAGACGGCATTTGATACCACCAGCACCACCCGATTATATAACCAAGGTGTCAGTATCGCCCATATTTGGTAAAAGTAGACATTTTTTCTTTGTCATTCGAAGTGCATCTTTCCCATACCATATATTTCTTCAATACTATAACGGCTTCACAAATCGGGGATGTTTACGCAGCCATCGTTTCATAAACATCCCCGATTTTAAAGTCTTGATCGGGTTTAAGAGCGGACTTCAGTGAATCTTCAGAGCAAAAACAACTGGATGTGTTTGTCCACAACAGGGGAGGAAAAGTTGCGTAACTATCGACTAGAACTCGAAGGTGTAGGGCTCGCCAGAAGCATACATCAAGAAGGCTTGTGATGGATGCGTCAACAATCAGTGCTGGTCAGACAGATGCTGCGGCCGCCACGCAAAAGCGGGATGCCTAAAATACGTGGATACCCAGAATGTTTTGCAGAGTCCAGTGCCAAGAATCTGCTAGCAATGGCTGACACAATATTGCTGACTACGAAATTGGATATTTGGCTGCATTGGCCACTTGTATCATCAAGTCCTGTATCCTGTAAGGTCCGTTGAGAGCGTTTGGTTGCTACAGGCCGAGTAGTGGATGTACAATGCCACTCCGGGTTGGCCGTGGAATCGGATCCGAAGTTTATGGACACAGCCATGATTTTCTTAAGGATGGCACTGGGCTCCGTGAGAACGCATCTCACAGATTGTTAATTTACCGTCAGAAGCCATCAATGGCGAGAAAAGACAGGGCCGGGCCTAAGGGGAATTTGAGGGACCCTGCCCCCTAGTTCCGCCTATGCTGAAACTTTTACTTTTTGAAACGCATGATAAGTGTTGGCCAATTGCTAGTTGTACTTTTGATGCCAAACTTTTTTACACTAAACGCTTCGAAGTGCTAGCGAGGCGGATGAAGGCGATCACAGGTGTGGGTCTGTTAAGGAAACAGGCAATGATAGTCTGGATTTCCATTTGGACCACTTTGAAAGATTATCCATTGATAAAGAACGAGCTGCGAGATCCCGGCAGAGTTCAGAGGCGGCAAAATGCATGCATCAGGTTACAGGGGCAGTCGCAGATGTACACGCATGGAGGAAACGCAGCAGCTCTTACGGTTTGTGCGCAGCTCCACGCTGCATTAAGCTCGCCTGATCACCCACCAACGTCATATATCCTACATCCACCTCACATCTGTAGTATTACCAGATTTGGATATAAGTGTCGCAATGATGGGCAGAGGAGGGGAGTTGGAGATCTACTGCAGAGCTTAGCAGCGAATATTCAAGGAAACTAATTTACGTTTTGCTTGATGTTGCCTCCCTTGTTTGCTCTACAAACTGCGCTGATGACAATTTTTAATTTTCTTAGTGCTGATAGAGTAGCTACTAGATTATGACACCAGAAACCCTTTGAGCCCATGCTCAGTCTCTATGACAAATATTTTCAGAAGTCACGGGGGGCAACAAATCGGACCACGGATAGAATTAACGCAAAAAGCCGGATGGGAATAGGATCAAACGTTTTGGATAGCTCATGACATCTTACGGCCAAAAAAAAACACTGCAACTGCAGCCATAGCATACTTATTTAGTGCAAAAGTACGTCACCTTATTTCTCTTTTTGGCGACGAATCATGAGTCAGGTCACTTATAACTTTTGTCTTCTATCAAAGGTGACAGTGTTTTGCAAAATGTTTTAAACACTTGTCACATAGCCTTCATCACTCCTTCAGCCGTACTTGCACACCACTTTAGCCGCAATGGTGAGGTCACGTGTCTGCCGACCGATGACTTGTCATCTCACCTTGTAGAACAGGTTGGAGGCCAGCGTCTTTCTGTAGGCCACGTCGGCCAGCTCTGGGTCCGGGTAGGGCCGCACCTCGTCCAGCAGGATGGCGAGTGCCCCCTGCAAGGTGCCCTCATCCAGCCGCCGTCCGGTCAGGTACCGTTCCGTGGCGTCCGCGTGCACCTGTCCGGGAGTCAACAAGGGGTTAGGTCACGTACCGTGGCATCAGTAAAGCTGTGGAGGGGATTTAAACGTCTCGGGCAAAGCAGGACATATGACGAGCTGCGTGGCAGGGGATATCTGTAAATTACAAGATGGCACATATAGTATGAAGATCTTCGGAGCGTTCCTGCCCTTTCGCTATAACGTATTGCATTCTAGCTCCGAAAACATGCACGAGACGATAAGATATTCTTGAGCGACAGCGTTCAAAAGTGGGTGCATCAAACCTCGCTCCAGCCAGGGTGATAGTGAGCCGGAGAGGCCGGACGCCTGTTCCGGAGAGGCCGGACGCCTGTCCCGGAGAGGCCGGACGCCTGTTCCGGAGAGGCCGGACGCCTGTCCCGGGGAGGCCGGACGCCTGCCCCGGAGAGACCGGCACCTGCCCCGGAGAGACCGGCACCTGCCCCGAGGACGCTGGACACCTGCCTCGCGCTCTCTAACAACTTACAAACTTGTCGCTGATCCCTCCGAACAGCAGAGTGGGCCGCTCCGTGACCTTGGTGGTGGCCGAGTCGAAGGGCAGCACAAAGGCGGCGTTCACGTACGCATGCGCACTGATAGCCCTCGGAGTGATCTGCGACACGGACCGGTTAGAGTCAAGGAGTCGCAGAAGCCCGACCAGTTAGAGTCAAGGAGTCGCAGAGGCGTGCTACACCTGAGGGCCATTCCCCACTCAATCTGAGAGGTGGCTGAGTCCATGGCACGACTTAGCCAGCAGGCGGCAGGACAGTGGGATGCTCTGACGGCTGCTCGAGCTAATACACCGATTCGGTGGGCGCCAATGGCGGGGCTGCGACGCAACTTGCTGGCTGGGAGATTGCTCCAGGAAAGCCTCGAACAGTTGTTCACACATCGCTGCTAATGTTTCGAAAATTAGGAGATCCTTGACCACTAGCGCAGAGCTTGGTATTTGCCGTAAGGAATGCTATGTATAACTTCCACCGCTATTCTCATACCATAGACTATAGATAAAGCACCCTAGATAAAGCTTGCTGTATCCGCCACCAGGACCACACCGTTGTTCCTCTTGCGCGGGCGCAAATCCTATTAGCAGTAATAATGCACTGCTGGCCCCATAGCAAGTCGTTTATCCATGACAGTGCACTCACCTTGTACGTCTTGAAGACATATTTGCCTTCATCCATTGGTGGCAGGCTCATGGACACGATGATTTTGTTGTTCATGCTTATCTCGTACATCTTTTCCACAGGCATTTCTTCGACCTGTCTTCCCTCGGCTGAAATTAAACGGGATGGTGTACCGTTTCGTATTACAAAACTCTCTCACAGAGATGTGTTTGGTGCTGTCTTCTGTGCCGGTGTCGGCCTGATGTGAGCATGCTTTTGTACGGACTGAAAATAATGACTTTAACATGCATTCGTCGACCGAAGTCTGGTTGTGCCATGTTTCTCGAAGCAAAAGCATTGATACAAGCATGTCTGGTCGCCACCAGATATCAGGCTCAGAGCCAACAAGAGACGAGGGGAGACGTCCCCTGTAACCCTGAAATCCAGCGTCTCGTTCCGATGCAACGAATCCAGCCGTTGGCGTTCCAAGGGATAACTCGGCTCAAAATATTCTCGCAGAGGGCAGCCCTCCCTTAGCTAAAGCGATTTTCAGGGTTTGGGATCTTACAACCATGTTCGGTTACAAAAGACACCTTTTGTGTCTACAAGCATCAGATATTGTCTCACAAACGATAGGCTTGCTCAAGCATACACATCTGGATTGTCCGAAACACCGCACAAATTTTGACAAAATCTTAAAAATAACGACGCACCCCATTAAAGGGATAGATTGATGAAATTTGACGCATTCTGATGGAATACCTTGCTCAACACGCACCCGGGTGGCCGGTTGAATAGCCTGCGCTCGGGTGAGAGTGGGGGCAATTTGACCCCTTGAGATCTGAAAAACAAGGGCGCTAGGGACACCAAGTTAAGAGGGTGGGGATGTCTACATGTTGAATCACTTGTGACAAAATTTGAGGGACTTGATTCTAACTACCTACCTACCTACTACCTTTTGATCAAATAAGGTCAAATGAGGTCAAACTCAAGATTGGTGTCCAAAGTGTCGTTTGTCTCCTCCGTGCCTGCTCATGCAAGCGGCCTGAACTTATACACCTGTCCCAAGTAAAAGGTCATTGATATTCATTTATGCCGGTCACCATGACCTTAAAAGGTCATGGTGACCAAAAACCTACGAAATGGTTCAATCTTATAATTGTAATAGGCGGTGAGCAATACGTCATGCGGTACATTCCTAGAAACAAATAGGTGATCTGGGTCAAGTTAGGTTATTGACATTCTGACCTTTCAGAAGTCCATGGGATATTTCTGTTGTGGTGTCTGCTGTATCATGAAATTCGAAATGAGCATCAGAAACTGCCCAATAACGCAAGCGCACAAGTAAGCAGGCAGGTTGGTTTTGACTTCCATCTGACCTCGCTCCAGATAATGGAATTTGTTGTAATGCTAAATTTTTTTTTTTGCCTAAGAAGCTGCCGAAAAAATGCATGATTTTGTATAAAACTCCGTTGCCTAATTAGACCAAATGATTTTTCAGAAATTGCCTTGGTGACTGTCACGGTCTTATGCTCCCTTCCATAGGTCAGCGACCTGACAAGGTACATCTAATTTTTGGATCCAAAAAGATACACCATTGGATTATCTACAACCGCACAAAATTTGACGAGGCTACGCCGCGCCATTCCAAAATTAAAATGCAAAACCCTCGGAAATGGGATTAAATTCCTCCCACTCAGAGCGTGTCAATATATATGTTTGTACTTGGATGTACAAATTACGTTTGCGTTCGCACGCTCACATTAAGATAAGCCATGTTACGCTAGTTCCCCGCAAAAGCTAGCCTTTTGACCGTAAGCAGAATAAGGAAAATTTTCGGAAATATTTTGCATGTGGTATTATTTAAGACACATGTCGTTGACAAATTACGCAACATCGATTAACATATCAGTAAATCAACAGCTTCCTTTGTAATAGCAGCCCCGGCCCCTCCTCGCACCAACCATCAGCGAGCAACGTCACCCCAAGCCTCAGAAGAGGGCATTCCGTGATGAACATGAAACTAAAAACACGGAGCTTGCCTGCATTTCCCCTCGGCATTGCCATAGTAATCGCTCCTATGCTGCTATGGGGGAGTTATAAGCGTCAACATCGCCCGGCGACACGCCATTGGCCTCAGCGCCAGTCGCCCACCAGCAAGAGGCCTGCACTCACCAATCTTGAGCCTGGCTTTGGCGGCGGTGAGCAGCAGGAACACATCAGACGGGAACTCGCGGTGACGGTGCTTGATCATCAAGTTGCCGGCCCAGGTTGCCGCGTTCCTCACCGGCGTGTTCGCGACCACAAGCAGATGCTGGGCCATCACGGCGCAGTGTCGGTACCCGGCGGTCTTGCTGAGCGCCTGCAGCTCCTCAATGAGCTCTGACAGGGTGACGGCAGCGCCGAACACCACGCTGCTAGCCGTGGCCGGGCACCAGCTGGTCTCCTTACTGGCCCCGGGTCTCTTGATCACGCGGAGGTCAGGGACTTTCAGGAGGGAGATGTACCCATCGGACGGAGCATTGTACTTGTCCAATACGCCTAAGAAGGAAATTTGTATTGGGTCAAATATAAAACGCGCGCACACACGCACACAAACCTACCTGATATATCACACCTGGACTAACCACGAGGGGTAATGCACTGATAGCAACGCTCGTTTCTCTGCTCTCGGCAGTCGTTCTCGCCACAGCTATCCGCCCATGGCAATTACACGCAGTGGAATGGAACTGTCCAGTCACCCTGTCAACGCGTGGCAGATGGCTATTCTTTATTGCCAACATGCCAAGCATCACGCTTAAATAGGTGTTTATCAACTGCTGGATTTTCCGGATTTCCATTGCATTTTGCAATGCAATGAAGGGGAATTAGTCCGAAAATTCATCCAGTGAAATTTTCCAACTAAAGAACACGCGGTGCGTCGAGCAGTTTATGTCTGCCCTACCTCGTGTTACACACGACGCCCAGCTCTTTAGATCCTTCACGTAATAATAGCATTACATGCCTCACTTGACACCGCGTGAACTACCACGTGAAGATCAAAGTGATTCGTCACACTATGAGAATCTAGCCAGTTTGGTGATACATGCACACAACGCACCTTTATCCAGCGCAAACGCCACGCGGTACAATGGGCCACAAACTACAAAAACACTCCCAGCGGAACGGTGACAAGTGCTAAACAGTGCAGGTATCGCGAAAATCTCACCCATGGCGGTGTTGCCGGCCACCAGGCGCACACTCTTGCCGCCGGCCGCCATGCTGGACAGGTCGCCGAGCGCCTGCTGCAGGGTGGTGGGCAGGCGCCAGTCGTTGGCGGCCGAGGTCAAGGCAGCCGATCGAGGACAGCCGGCGCACGCCTCAGTGGGCTGACAGGAGCCGCCGGAGCGGCCGCGGCAGCCGGCCGTCTCCTGCCGTCACCAAGTGAGAGATGAGATGAGGGAGTGGCAAAAGGAACAGACTGAAGATAAGACTCAGCTATGATGAAATCCCTGCGTAAAAGCATTGCTTTCTTAGTCATACAAATGTTCCCGCGACATTAAACGAAGTGCGTCACAGATTGCGCTCAGGTAATCCGTTCACTTTCTGCAGGACACTTGATAGTTGTGCAATCCGTTAAGTGTTGCATCACTGACAAAAAGCTTCAGGAGTAATGTCTTACAACTTAATAATAAAAAGGCAACAGGAAATGAGTTGCTGGCCTGGTGCTGAGTGTGTACTGGCAAGAGATGCCAGCGAGCATGGTGACCCACGGGTAAATAGAAAAGATGGTCGATATGTTTGGCTGTTGTTGTGTGTGCAGCCGATACCTCAATGTCCTTAACCAGCTGTTTGGTCTTGGCGTCGGACTCCTCGCTGAACGTCTTAAAGGCGTCCAGGATCGGCCTGTAGCCGGTGCAGCGGCAGAGGTTGCCGTCCATGGCCTGCTCCACTCGCTCCTGGGACACCTCTCCGCCCGACTTCAGTACGCTGGTCGGCGGGGACAGTTAGTCACCTGATGCGTCAGAGCGCTCCTGGGACACCTCTCCGCCCGACTTCAGCACGCTGGTCGGCGGGGACAGTTAGTCACGTGACGACCAGTCACGTGATGCGTCAGAGCGCTCCTGGGACACCTCTCCGCCCGACTTCAGAACACTGGTCGGCAGGGACAGTCAGTCACGTGACGTCCAGTCACGTGATGCGTCAGAGGTAGACTGATTCGACCAGACCGCCGTCTCAGTCACGCCACACATCAGGATAGACTGGTCCGCCGGGATGACGAGCGTCAGTCACGTGACGCGCGAACGCGGGGCTGATCAGGGTAGACTGCTGCCGCGATAACGTCACATGCCAGAAGTCGGCTGGTCGGGAGAGATTGCGACCAGTCCTGGACTATCACATTGGGCCGCAGCACTAGTCCCGTGCATGGACATGCCACACTGCGACTGTGGTATTCAGCTGTGAATGGGTGTGATCATTCCTGGAGTGCAGTGCACACCTGAACATGGTCATCACCATCTGCGGATTCTATTGTGCCTGTGCCTGATTCCATTGTTCCACCGCCTGTGCATGGACATCACCCAACAACCATACTGGAGCAGTGACACCCACCTGTACATGGACATGACCATGCCGGGGCTGCAGTAGCCGCACTGGGTGCCGTTCATGTGCGCCAAGCGAGCCTGCACCGGGTGGTAGCCGTCCCTCCTGTTTCCTATCCCTTCTACCGTCTATATAAAAAAACAGGAAGCGTGAACATCATCCCGGGGGAAGAGAGAATTGCCGCTAATTAAAAGTTATATAGAAGACCCAATATTTTGGATCAGCCTGTTTACTTATGATGGCCGTGCGAGCCCGCATTTCGGTTGTGAATCGTATTGCATTGCATCATATGTCTGCTTAGGTTTACTACAGAGTCTTAGCCTGAAAACTACGTACAGCGCTGTAGAACGTGGTATAACGTCTTAAGGGCAGCATAATAGGCCATAATGCTGCGGAATGTAACAAAGTTCATTACCATGGACACCAAGCCCACCTCTATTTTCCAGTCCTGGCAGGCATTGATGGGCACCATGCACGAGTTGACTGCGCGGCTTTCCATCTGACCCGTCGCCGGATTCTGTGACGTCACGTTGACGACGCAAGCCCCGCACATGCCCTCCCGGCACATGGTCTTGGTGCCGGGGAGCTGGCTATGCAGACGAAGATAGTCAGCCAGTGACGTCGTCGGCGTGACGTCGTTGGTAACGCCGCCATCTTTGGGCGCCCTCTTCAAAACTGAAACCGGTGGACATCGTGGACGACAAGCACTCTCTAGATGTTGTGGAAAGAATGCTGTTTTTGGGAGAGAATAGAAAGAATTAAAATTGAAAGACATGAGAAATGTCATCTTTAGTAGGTAACAGCTAAAACTGTTTGGTTAGCATGAAAGCTGTTACCATCGCAACTGCGAGGATTTCGCCAAGCAGGGCCCGGAACCGGTTCCAGGTGGCAACCTCTCCAGACCGCGATGCCATGCGGGATCGGTACGAGTCCGTCAAGGAACAATCACGACCATGTTGTCACAATGATTACCGATGTGCAGCGGGCCATCACTCTCGAAAGTAAACCGAGCATCCAACAGACTTGAGGAAATTTTTTGATGAATGCCATATTTTGGCAGCTAGAAGCTGACAAAACCTTAAAATTAGCTGCAAAGCAAAGACGTTGCACCAGCTTTGATGACGCTGGGTGTACCTTCCTCACACCGGTTACACTGCTAAAACATATATTTTCAAAAATTTAACATAATTTGCGACCACACCTGAGAATAATGTTACGCTGTCTGGCCTCCACCAGACCCCCTCCCTAAGAAGCTTCTTTTACGACCCATTAAACCCCTTACTCCAATGCATGCGTCACGTATTTATGGACGGGCCCCAATGAACTGAGAAAACTTAAAGCTTAGTGTGCCTTTTGGGAGAGGATTCTATCTTTTTTTCTTACAGTCTGGACATTGACCTCGGAATCCTCGCACATTTGTGGAACACCCCAGTAATCGAATAGGACATTAAAATGCGGCAATGCATGGGAATTTGAAGAAGGTATGACCGCTGAAATTTACCAGAGCGAGCCCATATACCTTCTAGCAAAAAATTGTACATCACCTTTTTTCGTAACTAAATGCGAGATGTAGATAAAGCGTAGTTCAAGCTACTTGCTGTCTCGTAGGCACGTACACATTGTTTTGCCTAGACGCATAGTAAATATTGTTCACCATTTATCATTCGTCTCCAGGCACCCGGCGTGCGAGGAAGTGCGACGCCCGGCGGCCGTCACTTCTGTCCATGGCCAGCGATCTGGGCCGGGAAGAGGGACAGTGTACAGACGGGGAATCAAAGAGAGGGGGGGGGGGAGGCTGTTCCGAACAATGCGTTGACACAGCAAATGTTTTCCCCTTTAAACCTGATTTACAGATAATTTTGTTGTCTTTAGTTACCTGGCTTACTCCAAGGATGCTTATGTTGTCTTTAATCGACCCGTATTTTTTCCAAGGAATGCTAGCACGGCTGCCGGCCCGAGGTCGCCAGTCGCTGGAGCTTAAACCAAGTCAGATGATGTCAGAAAGCCTTAGGAAGGTATGACACCCAATTAGAGCAGACTTATATCATGAAAATAGTATTGCTGTTCCAATAGCTTCCAGGTAGCCTCTCCGCCTACTAATTTCATGAGAAATCTGCATGACGAGGGACAAACCTATCTGTACGAGACCAAGGGCCTTCATGGACTTATGTTTTGGTGGCGAATTACTGAGGACGATGTTTATGTTATTTTTCCGCCTTACCAGCACCCAATACAGCGCTTTGCTCGCGGAAGTACAACTACGTTTCGTAACTTTGGCTAAGATTAGAATATGGAAACTTAGAAATAAGGACAAACAAGGCGTTCAAAACCAACGTGGTACCATTATCGCCAATAACATATAGGTTGGGTTCCCCATCACATGCATCACATACAGTTCGCCAAGCCCCGTTTTGTAGTTCAAACGTCCACACAAGCTAATGCCGATAAACGTATCTCTGTCAAGTCACCGGCTTAATGCAAAAAACATCGACAATTAAAACGCGACAATTTTCATTGATTCTCCCTTTCTAAGACTTAAGCCCATCGCAAATAGTCCGAAACTTAAGCGACCAGCGAAATCATACCAAAGCCCCATGGACTAATACGGCAAACAGCAAGAACATATATCTACTGACCAAATAGAAGACACTTCTGTCTCAGCTTAAACAGGCTGATAACTGTAAAGCATATATATATATATATATATATATATATATATATATATATATATGTATATATACTAAAAGTTGGCGCGTTTCGCCGCTGTTATGGTGTTCCGATACGCCCGGTGATGTCCGTCGTGACCACCTCCATCGAGCTTTGCTGCATCCGAGTGGAATACAACCGCACACATGTTGTGGCAGCGATACCATCGCGTTGGAATTGTGGGTAGGTTTTGTGTTACCGCGGTCTACAAGCACGCTGCTCGAGTGGTGCCGCCACTTCAACAGGAACGAATTGGCATGAGAAGGGCGTTGGTCTTCGGATGGTGCTACGCATTGCTGCAAACTACCATGTTGGCACGTTTGCTACATAGACAACATATGCTTTACTGAGGTTTTCGGGAACGGCTAAATATTTATTACGTTCATGCATCTTCTAATTTGCACTCATCCCTGTCTATAAAACAAGCTCTACCCCACCTTCCAAGGGTTCGGTCCCACGAAAGGAACTGTTCAGTTTCACGGCGTTTAAAACGGGGAGAGTGTTGGAATCCATGAGCTGGTGTTCAGGCTCAGCATTGCAGTACAAGCGTACAATTATCATTTATCCAATAGGAGCTTCGTTCACTGTGCAATGTTATGCTATGAATACTGCCTGGCGGTGCTGGTGAGCTTCTTCTGTTCACCTGATAATGTAGTTACGGCGCTTAATCGACAAGGTACCTCTCGAACATGATGGCGACGGTTCCAGGACAAATTGTCGAATGCCGCCTAACAGAATATTATTTCGCCGAATGTCATTATGTTATATCGCCATGCTCTTTAGTCGTCATGTCAAAAAGGTGCACAGTTGCGAAGCAAAATGCATATTGCCAACACCTGTATTGGACGACGTACAGAGGATTAAGATAAGAATACTCCCCAATGATAACTATCGGAAAATCAAGAGTGAGATATAAAATTTCCCAAATGCCAACATACCTAAATGGGGGTGTAGGCGAATAGTTATTGGATAAATGAAAAATCATCGAATGGTGCCATTACCCGAATGCCAAAAAGGCATTCGGGCGATATTTGACCTGAGTGATTGATAGCTAGTCCATAATAATTGTGTTACATGGTCAGTCCAATCGATTTCTCAGAAATGTGAATTAAACGATCGGGCATTCCCAGAAGTGATGAAACTCCGCAGACCGCAGGGGCCGTCCATAAATTACGCTGCACATGGAGGCTGGTGAGTAGGTAGAAGCATAACCAATGTTGCTAAGAACTTGAAGTAACCATGATCACTTGTGCGACAATAAAGGAGGATAGGTCTCTCCCTCTACCTCTCCCTCCCTTTCTTCTTTTTCTTTCTTTCTTTCCCTCTCTCTCTCTCTCTCTCTCTCTCTCTCTCTCTCTCTCTCTCTCTCTCTCTCTCTCTCTCTCTCTCCCTCTCTCTCTCTCTCTCTCTCTCTCTCTCCTCTCTCTCTCTCTCTCTCTCTCTCTCTCCTCTCTCTCTCCTCTCTCTCTCTCTCTCTCTCATCTCTCTCTCTCTCTCTCTCTCTTCTGTCGCTCCTATTACCTGCTTTTGCTTCACAACGTGTCAGAACAATTATCAGCGTTTTGGAAATGCTAAAGAATTGCACTACGAGGACGCGTGTGTACACGACTGCTTCGTCGCGGTGACAGTGATGCGCATGTCTTGCTGCGCAACAGCAGAGCCCTCTGCTCCCATCAAGGAGACGAGGAGTGGGCACCAGTCAGTCAGCATGACTCAGCGATGTTCACCCGACATCACTCCGTATCAACACGTGGTCACTCTACTTCAGTGCATGCCAGTTCTGCCTGTCAGCGCCTCTCGCTGGCGTTGCGCTGAGCGGCCAGACCTCACCTTGTTGAGGCTGGTTGTTGATGGAGAAGGTCAGCGCCGCCACGTTGCCTCCGGAGGCCGGCATGACGACACTGGCAAATAATGCTGGCCGTTATCGGAGCGCCTGAAATGGCCTGAGAGAGACGAGTCCTTTGCCCATTTCTACCCCGCAGCTTGGATGCAATATTTAAGCAGGATGTCAACTGAGTTTAAGCCAGGGTATCTTTCGTTACACTTTCGAGGTGATCCACTAAACATTTCGCACAGTGAACCCGTGAACTAAAAAAAAATGTGACACTCCGCATCGCTCATGTGTGATTTGCGAGGCGGGAAACAGTTTGATCAATTCCTTGTTCAATGTCTGCTTCCTTTTCATCCTTATCAATAACCTACAATTGTCTGTACTTAATGTACAATCGGCAACTTCAACAAGTTTACCTCACAGGGGGTACGGTTAGTCTAGGAAATCCAATTCATGTACATTATCACGCTGATCCACAACTTTTAAGCGCTATGTCATGCTACCAAGTATGCAGGTTAGGTGAAATGATAAAATGTTTCATCTAAGATGGGAAAAAGGCCAATCTGCCCGGAGAGCGAAACCAGTCCCTGACAGTCATGGCCGCTGGACCGGTATCCACATATCTTACTCACCCACAAGTGTATCTTCTGATTTTTCGGGATTCGTATTCCGAGCATGAGGCCGGGATCATTTTAAGACTTAAATCAAAGTCACACCCTAATCATATTCCCATTGTAACGCATTTTAAAATACATTATGCCTATTCTTGCGTATGAGTGGTTCCTTGTAGGCAATATTTTTCAGGCTCGGAGTTGATTAATAAAATGCTTGAGAACTGCACATGGTATCCGTAACAAGAAGCTCAAACAGAAATAAAACATAGGTGTATTCGACAGTGTGCTGAAGCTGGTTGCGAAGGATAATTTTTTTTGCAGCAATGCGAACTTGGATAATTTAGCACAAGTCTCTCGAGCACATGACGTGCGAATTATTGCAGTAGGATAGTTATCAAAGCTTGTGTCCCTTCTTTGATGTGTGTCACCTGTGCAATCAGTCTTTCTTATCATCTGTATACAGTCGTTTTACGAAAACACATTATAAAGTGGAACGGCACCCTTCAAGAACAAATGACGAAAAAAGGCTTGGCGACTTAGCGTTAACAAAAAAGGTTTCGGCTTGTAAAAAGTTAACAGAAAGGTTTGGTTTGCAAAAAGTTAACAAAAAAGGGGTGGATTGCAAAAAGTTAACAAAACAGGTTTAGCTTGCAAAAAGTTAACAAAAAAGGTTCGGCTTGCAAAAAGTTAACATAAATTTTCAGATGTTGCCGGAAGCTGTATGCTATTAATGCATACAGTTACCTAGAGTTTTGGGCAGCTAATTACATTTAAAAAATCATTCTAAATATTTTATACCTCAAAGGTTATCTTACACCATGCGTCCATGAAAGGGTAGCCATCAGAGCACTTCTGTCGGCCTTGTTATTCGTTAGAAGATCAAGCGAAGATGAAAATAACTGCATCGTTTGTTTGCTGGCATAATTCACATCTAGTGTGGATATTAACATGTGTTTTGATACCTCTTATCAATATCGACAAGGAGCAACGCCAAACGAAATGCTCTCATATATATGCCACATTTCTAGCAGCGGCATTGAATAACTTACGAACAACGTAAATGTCTTTGGGTGTCATGATTAAGAAACGTTACCCGCTCAAGGCAATAATTATTCGGCGGGACATTTTTTAACAAGCAGTTTAAAAAAAAAACATCAATGAGTATTTTGGTTCCATATATTTCCTCACCAGATAGCTTGCATTTCGAAAAGCAGAAATCATATCCCTTTGAAGCTGCTTGGAATGTAGATCCAAAGGCACAATTTGAAAAGGGAAGAATGCATCGAAACATTGGATGCAGCAACTCCTCGTAAAAACCAACTGGTTGAATACACGCAACGTCAGGATGATCTATGCTAATCTATTCGCCAATACAAAACTAGCCACATGATATCTGGGAAACCGGTCTGAAATGCCCTGGTGGCATCACGTCAGTCCATACCTTTTGCCGTTGATTCTCCTCGGCCCGATGAGTCCTTGCCCGTAGAATCAGCAGGCGACCCTGCACCTCTCGACGCCTAATCTACGACGGTGCCACGGAATACCCTCCGGCACAGTCCGCAGGCGACGCTGCGCCTCTCGCTACCACGGTGCCACGGAGTACCCTCCGACACAGTTCGCCGGCGCCGGCGCACTGGGCGGCCTGCTCCGCGCGTGCAGAGATCGCGTACGGCCTCGCCCGAGTGGTGAGATAGGCATCGCCATGCCCCGGGCGGTGAGACGTGAAAAATTGCCGCCTCCGCTGCAGTCTTGGCAGAGTGATTTGGCACTTATTCAGACGCGCTATCCGGCGGCGTTGTGGTGGTTTGCGGTATTCAGCTGTTTGCCGTGGCGCACAGTGCGTGCGCTTGATATGTACGTTTCCTTGCCTATGTGTTTGAAGAAGTCTGAACGCATAACTATTGGCGGCATACAACAGCTGAGCTGTGATCTGTGACTGATCTGATACAGCGCTTAAGCTATCTGAAAGCCAATCTTGAGTCTATTTGGATGCGTTAAACTTCCCTTGACCTCTGTACGGTGGTTAATATAATCTTCAAACTACGACTCGCTTGTCGCCGTCGATACGGACTTCTACTCAATTTGATTTTGACCACAAGTTATACAAGTTGACACTTAGACGCAATTTCGTCGGACTACATGCGTTCGGTGAGTTGAAGTAGTACCACTGCCTCGGTGGTAAATTTCGAGCCCAAGGGGCAACCACTGCTTGTCACGCGCTCTGAGCCCAGTGACGGTCACGTAAGAAATTCAACGCAGGTAAAAAAGGCACGCAACCCCAAACAAAGATAAATCAACGTGTCTCAGAACAGTCTTCAGTCGCTGCTTCCGCTTAGATCCTTTGAAGCTGACTGGCTAGGAATATCCCTCAGAATGCGTCGGCAATCTATGCATCCATGATGATGATTTGGCGTTTTGGAGCGCATCGACTGTTGTAGGTCATGCAGGACCCATCTGTGCATGCATGCTAAGATAGCATTGGAATGCATCTGATCGGCCGCGTAAGAGCAGAAATATGCCCACAAAGATCTTAAATTCCTGAAAAACTACGAAGTATCTTCTGTACCACCTGTTCTAATGTGGTTCCCAGAATCCACCTTCACCTTCACTGCCGACTACAAGTAAGCCGCAATCCGGTCTCCTTTGCGGACCTGAACAACATCCGTGGGGCTGGCCGCGGCGCCGTTTGTCCCCTGGCACCGGCACCAGTCGTCCCTCAGGCCGCGGCGTCGGCTGTCCCCCGGCAGCGGCACCAGTCGTCCCTCAGGCCGCGGCGTCAGCTGTCCCCCGGCAGCGGCACCAGTCGTCCCTCAGGCCGCGGCGTCGGCTGTCCCCCGGCAGCGGCACCAGTCGTCCCTCAGGCCGCGGCGTCGGCTGTCCCCCGGCAGCGGCACCAGTCGTCCCTCAGGCGCCGCGGCGTCGGCTGTCCCCCGGCAGCGGCACCAGTCCCTCAGGCCGCGGCGTCGGCTGTCCCCCGGCAGCGGCACCAGTCGTCCCTCAGGCCGCGGCGTCGGCTGTCCCACGGCAGATGGCACCAGTCGTCCCTCAGGCCGCGGCGTCGCTTGTCCCCCGGCAGCGGCACCAGTCGTCCCTCAGGCCGCTGGCGTCGGCGGTCACCCGGCAGCGGCACCCGTCGTCCCTCAGGCTGCGGCGTCGGCTGTCACCGAGCAGGCGGCACCAGTCGTCCCTCAGGCTGCGACGTCGGCTGTCCCCCGGCAGCGGCACCAGTCGTCCCTCAGGCTGCGGCGTCGGCTGTCCCCCGGCAGCGGCACCAGTCGTCCTCAGGCCACGGCGCCGTTTGTCCTCTGACCGCAGCACCGGTTGTGCCCCAAACGGCGGCGCCAGTTGTCCCCCGGGAGCGGCACCGGTTGTGCCCCCGGTCGCGGCGCTGCGCCTGGTGAGGATGGCGGTGCGGCCTGCTCTCCGGCACATGCCGTTGTGGTTGTAGTGTTTGGCCAGAGTGGTTGACTTGATGTTGTGCGCGATTAAAAGAGTGGCTTACAAGGTGCGTTGAAATCCCGTAAGTTTCTTCCTTCCGGGTCCCTAGCACTTGCTGGAAAATGGTTATCCGCTGGTTTGCCTCTCGGCGTCGCCTCTGAAGTGTTGGCTCAAACACAATTTGATCCTGTATGTAGTATATACCCTTTTCCGAGCACATGCATTCCATGGATTTCATTCCGAGACCGCTTGCCACGTCCGTAACAGTTGACATAAGAGACTTCGGCCCAGCTCATCCTGGTCTCACCGTAGCGGACAGCCACATGGACTGTGTGTAACCATGCCAGATAGAGTCGCCCTAAAACTAGTTGAATTGGCGTACTGCGCATTGTTCTGGTGTAGTTCATCGAAGGCAAGTTATGCTACGGATGTTACCCCGAGGCAAACCTTCAAAAAATATATATATTATATTATATATATATATATATATCTCTCTCTCTCTCTCTCTCTCTCTCTCTCTCTCTCTCTCTCTCTCTCTCTCTCTCGCTGATACTCCGCTGGCGGGGCAAGCGAGCTCGTGTTATTGAGACATTGTCAACCAAACAGGACGTTACCCCGAGTGCGATAGCGCCTCAGGTGTGGAACTCTCTCAAGCACGTCCGAATAAGATCTGCTCGAATCAGTCAAGACTTGGGGCTATGATAGTATGAAGTGTGAGTGCTGCATTAAACGATCAGCAGACCCTCATAGCCCAACTGCCGCCTCTTTTAAGCGCGGCGTGTCGAATCAAATGCGCCGAAACATGTGGCCGCGGCAGACAGTCTTATCTTATCGTGTTGAACCGAGGACACAGTCCAGGTGCCGATTAAAATATTTGAGTTGGCACATGACACCTTGCGATACGGTACGCATTCACCCAAGCAATCGCTTCGTTGAATTTTCAGATGTCGTTGTGGAGAGGTTCGAAAGGTTTTCCGAAAGTCAATTGGCAAGATCAGAAATCGTCTTATGGTGAGGAGTTTAGAAAAGGGGTTTCCCTGTTTCTGACACTTCTACACTACTGGATATGCGAGCGTCCATTGAACAGCGTTCTATTTATAGGTCCCGGAAGCCGTTTACAAGCTTTGATCCCCCACTCGATTAAGACAACGGGTTTTGCGACCCTTTGAAATCTTCAGTTGAACCTTCTTTGCTGAACAGATGAATAGCTTGCATTGGAACTATGGTAGTTTGAACATGCGCTGGGAACACGATTTGAGAACGTTTTCTTAAATATTTCTGGTGCCATTTCAAGTTGGCCTTAAATGGAGTCTGAATAATGGAAATGTGTCACGGTGTAACGGTTTAAGCGCGTCATAAAATTATTGTTTGTGGGGCACCAAAAGAAGACGATCAAAAGCAGCCAAACGCGTTCAGTGAGAACAACAGCAAAGTGACCCAACTGAGGTCGACCACCGGTATCCAAAGTGGCGCATCGGTTGGGGCGTCGCGCGCCATACTGCGCGCGGTCTCCAGCGCAGCGTTCGCGCTTGGCGGCACGGTGGCGTGGCACAGAGGTCTAGGTGTTTTGCAGCACAGAAGTTGCGGTGTTTGGTCTGCAGTTTGCGGTGCACAGGTTGCGATGTTTGCTTGCTACCTCTTCCAGACGAAGAAACCCTGCGGGCACTGACTGATTTGACGGCTGTGGCCAATGCCGTTTTCGTGGAGAGACCCACAAAGCGGATAGCAGTGCTGCTGCGCTTTATGCAGCGAGCGTACCTTAACATGAGTGAAGCGCAGAGTGTTCCATGTCGCCGGCAGGGCGAGAAGCCGGCCTGGTCTCTGAGTTTGTTGTGAACATTCGGCTGAGATGTTCAACTGAGTACTGCGAGCCGCGAGGACCAGGTGTCGCCAATGGCGAACCAGTTAGTTTTGTGAGTTATATTAGCTATGTTAGCTGTTAACCAAATTAGATGGGGTGTTCGTGCTTTCTTATGTGCGTGTGACGGTCGGCTGAGGTATGTATTCGATTCTCAGTCTTGTTTCCACCATAACTCATATCACTGCCCAAATTCCTCTATCGTGTAGCACAAAATGTGATTCATGTTCGAAACTTGCGATTCACGCAGGCAATCAGTGGAAGGTCAAGGGATGTCCGGTGATGCCACGAATCGTGCTAATGTACGCCAGTCACGAATAATTTGATGATCACATTTGTCTTGGCCTTGAGCACTGCGTTGCCAACCAGGTGGTGGTGTTCGCGTGACGTTTGTGTGACGGCATGCATGTTTAGATGACCTGGAAATAGTCTGCACGAAATATTCTGTACACGTCCTCGGACACCAAGCTCAGAAACCAGAGGGCCAGAGGGTCTTAAAGGAGCACAGCTGTAAACTGCGCTGAAGATCTTCAAAATAGCTATCTCAGTTCGAGATTCCTCACAAATGCGGCACACTCTCTCTAACTTTGTGTGGGACACCGCCATTTTTAGCATGTGACAGGTGTGCTGGGCTCATGAAGAGCGGGTTGCTGTCCCAAGCAGCATGGATAACAAAGTTGACGACAAGTTTGTGACATGTATACTGGCTGGAAGATCTGTTAGACATATGCACTCGCTTCCTTGTACCGCTTCCCCCATTTTCGTGTAGAGAGCTGTTGATGCTCCATTTTTGTGACTTGCAGCTGTCAGTCTATCCCAGCATACATGAAAATGAGCGTTGCGGCTTGGTCTTGTGTTTTCCATACTTTTACTTTGTACTGAAAATTACTGCCACTTAAGCAATAACTTGCAACAACAACATTGACCTCCGTAAGTTAGCGCCATATTCGTATTTAAACTCAGCGTCCAGTCCCGATTCCGCTTAAGATGAGCCTCTAGGTCAAGCGCGACTCGCTGGTTACGAAATGGGATGCTTTACTCCACCTCGAGGAGCGTGACCTCCACAGGTTGGAAAGTCATGTCAAGCACACGATGACACAATGTTTCCTAAGTCACAAGGACACCTAAGATGTTTCGGTACAAAAAAGGTGGATATGAAGGCTACGCATACATTACATCCTAGGATGGCAAAGCTTAAATCCAAGGTCAACTGTCAAGGTCAAATTCGAGGCCCAACAACGGGGTGGCACCGCACCGCCGCTGTGTAGAACTGATACATTAAATTGTAACGTCATCTAAAAGTCAATCATCAGTTACAGCCTGAGTATCCGAAAACATGCCAGTCAAGGTCAACCTTCAAGGTCAAAAGAAAGGGTAGCGCCGCACTGCCGCTCTTTTGCACCAATGTGTAGAAATGAGGTGTCACCAGAAAACCACCAATGGTCGAGTCCAGCCTTGGCTATTTAAACGCCAACCTTTAAAGGAAATCTTCCACCTTTGAAAATAATGAAGCAATTATCTGATATGATGATATAAGCTCACTTACAACTATTGGTATGCCTGTGAGTGGAAAAGACTACCATATACAACACAATTTCTGCTGTTAATATGTTCCTCAATGCGTCATTGTTTGATTGTGCCATCGTATCTTGCACAACATGGACCGAGAGCCCATTGACGACCGTTATATCTGGAGATCGTACTGACGAACACCAGATGCCAACGATATGACAATCTAAGCAATATAAGCTCGGCAATTATGTCTTTCTTGGCCTTAATTGCCGCATGTCCAGTAGGATATCAGGATTTGGATGACGTTATTATAGTACCATGGATGTCGGGGTGACCTCGAAACAGTCACCCCGAAAGCCCGCACATCTTCGCGGGCGTGCAGCTCAGCAGCCAGGGGGAGTTTAGGCCTTGAGCAGGGTAGGGCTGTGAACTGCACCGAAATTATATTCAAGGTGGCGATTACAGTTCAAACCCGCATACAAATGTGGAACAATTCTTTCAAGGTCGATGGCGGCGGTTATGTAGCTCAAAACGCAAACTATTAAGAGCCAAAGGACGGGTAAACGTCGCACTACCGCTAAATGTGACTGATTCTGAAAAATGGGGCGCAATCTGAGAGACGCGTACCAATTGCAGATGAAGTTGGCAAACCACGTGAATCAACGCTTATCTTAAAAGTCGCAGTCAAAGGACGGAGTAGCCCCATACTGCTGTATAGCACTGATGTCCTAAAATAAGGTGTCATCTGAAAGCCAATCATCAGTTTCCGCCGGGGCCTCCCAAAACACGAGTCAGCCGTCAAGGTCAACTTCAAGGTCAAAGGACAGGGTAGCCCAGCGATGCGGTTGTGCGTCGCTGATCTGCAAAAATCCGACGTGTTTAAAAAGCTTGTTGTCAATTCCAACGCATGTTATCGAAACACCAATTTCTAAGGTACCTTGAGGTTTTAAAAAGGTACAAAATTAACTCAAAGAGCGGAGGAGCGTCGCACAGCCGCTGCATGGGACAGATGCTGATAAATGGGACGTCACGCGATAGACACATCTCCATTCCAACCTGGGTGAGTTGCCAAAGTGAGTGAGTCAATGCTGCTCTTCTTAATCGCATTCGAGCTCACAGGACGAGGTGGCCCTGCACTGTCGCTGTATGAAAGCAATCTGTACAAAACTGGCACCATGATAAAGCCAGTTGGCGATTGCAGCCTGGACTAGCAACACGTCTACACTTCGGTCGATTGTGGCGATGAAAAACTCATAACGCAAATTTGCAAGGTCAGACGACTGGGTACCGTTGCGCTGACGCTGTGTGGGACAGAGTTTGATAAATGTGGGGTCATCCGAGACAAATATCAATGCCGGTGTCGGCGTCTCAAAACGCGTGCATCGAGGTCGTCTTCAAGGTCACATTTAGTGTCAGCAGGAGGACCGCACCGCAGCTTTATGGGGCAAGTTTGCACACATTAGGCGTCATTTGTCAGGTATCCATCCTTATCCCAGCAATCAACACCAGTCCCATACACCGGCACTGTGACGCTACCTCGCCCTTCGAGCTCGGCAGTTTGTTTTGGGGCTTTTTAACCACCACAATCGGCCTCAGAGGTTGACGTTTTGACACGCCAGGCTGGAATCGAACGCTTACTTTTTAATGATGCCTGCATTAAACAAATGTGTTTCAGACAGCAGCAGTGCGGCCCTACCCCGTCCTTTGACCTTGGATGCGCCTTTGAAGAATGACTGATCCAGGCGGGCGCACTTCTTACCATTCATATTCCTTCACGCGCTCACGGTTCCAGCCCGGCTCGTCGCCTGGCGTGCTCCACCAGATCTGTCATGGCAGATGCCGGAGGTGGCGGCAGCCTCGCTCACTGGCTGTCCAAAGTGTCTCGGCGCGGCGCCAGGCCTAAAGTTGCTACCAGGTAGACTACAAACTGTCGTCCGATAAACCCGATACATACTTTTCAAGGCGCGCGGAGCATTGCGTAATGGTGTGCGTCAACGGCAGTCTGTCTACCCTTTGTCTATCTCGGCAGTTTTCAACTGCAGCAACTGGTGTTCGGGTGGAGCATTCCCATCCGCCGATCACTCATAACAGTTGGATGGCTTCTAGTTCCCGATAATGCACGTTGCTACTAGGTACTACGGAGCTATGCTACGTGTTCACGCAACCCCACAGAGGCGTAGCGATGGCGTCACTGTTGGGATTACATCGTGACCAAAGATATGGGTGTATCTGACCGCGCTACTCGCTGTTGCTTTCGAAATGTTATCGCACGACTGATCAGGCACGGCTCTCGTACCGATTCAAGTGCATCGCCTCCGACCGAGCGCAGCCGCACTATCAGCTTCAGACCACCACAGATTACCGTCCCAGCGCTCAGGATGTGCCGCCGCGTACGATCCCATTGCCACGGTATCGCCAGCCAGGCCCAAAAACACGGCTCCATTCATGAAGCGTAGTGACATTTTTATAATCGTCGTTGGGCTTGAACATGGGCAAAACACACTGAGCAAAGCGCACGAACGATCAGTGACACCAGTTGTTCAATAGATATTGCAAATCCACGGGCTGTCGTGGCGACGGCGAAAACACGTGACTTGGCAACTTTCCCATTCAACACCAACAGGTCGTTGCCTATTTCTCGCACACCTCTCTTACGTGCCGCTTCCTCAGGAGCTTCTGACCGCGACAGGAGCCGTCCAGCGTCCGTCAGGGTTAACTTGACAGGGCTAGCCGGTCGGGACCCGCCGCGCACAGGCAGGCGCGCCGTATCTTACTGCTCCAACGGATCAGCGACGGTGACGTTCATATGCCTGTTCACGATGGCCTCCAGGAGCGGGCGCACGTGGGGGAACGTCTTCGGCACCTTCACCGGCCGTACGACGTACTGGTCGGAGACACGACTGTAGACGCGGGACGTTCTGCAGCGGCACAACAAAGCAGTGTCAAAAATGCACATCTATGCACACTTTATATATGCGATTCTATCAATGCGGCCTTCTGTTGCAAACGATACATTTCACACAAAAGACACACCTGGCAATGTACGATAAAATAACAAGCACAATGTGAAATGCACGAACATAATTTGTCAACAATGGAAGACAGTGACCTCCAGTTTTTATGTGGTCCCGGCTCCCGACCATTTTCGGCGGATGGATTCCTGGGATCAGCGCTAAATAATGCTTGTGTGCACACTGAGCACACCATCTGACCATAGGAGTACAGTTCAAAGGACACCTTTTTGGCGAAAGTTGAACGTGCCACATTATTCAGCAGAGTCCGCCCCGCCCTCGGACCTCATCGTTGTCATCATTAGGGCTTTAGGACGCACTCAGCTCCTGGGGCTATTGGCGTCGCCTGTCTCTCACCCCGGCAGGAAGCGCGGGCACCGCGGGGAATCCAACCCCGTAACTGATTTCCTACACGCGCAGTGGTTAACTCAGGCGCGATACGATCTTGTATGCACACTTTACGTCATGGTCTCAACTTAGAAAAATGAGAAAAATACAGATTGCAACTAACTCAACATGTGCGGCTTAATGCCGATAAGCATGGCAGCACACGGACTTTTGCGGGCTGGATCCCTAGCCCGGCTGCGTCATTTTGAAAGAAGTTGCGTCCCTGGTTCCTACCCACCCGTGGGTGCGAAGGAAGACAGGCGCACAACAAACTGAGCTGCCCGGACGGACAAACATGACTGGGATTCACTACCAGGTACATAACAGGAATTGCTTTTGAGGCGGGGGCACTGCTCTTACGACCTCCCCTCTACAGCGCCACACAAGCACCACGCTGCTGGGTGATGGCTCACTTGACGTTGCCCTCCTCGTCCGTGGCATAACCCCGACCGAGATGCGACGACCACTCCAGCACAGCTGCGCGCTTCCGGGCCACAAACGTGGAAGGTCTATAACAAAAATGATTATGTATATGTCGTGATCAAATTGTGTATCGCGTTTGACAAAGTGCAAACTGACAGGCGCGGAAAGCCGCCTGCGAGTAAGACTCGTGGCAAATCCTGGGACACAACGTGAACGCTTCGCCAGTTATTGCGAAATACAAACTTCCAAAATGGTAGTGTTATGCCTCTAGCCTCTTAGCAAAGATTGGAAACTGGGGCACAGCATCAGTACATATTTACACGATGGAATATTCCCTGTTTTGGTAGCAGGTTGTGATTGTTACCAGCAATCAGACGCAAAAGATCCGGGCACGGCACTTGCCAAAAACTGCAAGCGGCACTGTAAGAGGGCCATTTAACACTCACTCGAAGTACGTCAGCTTTGGAGCGTACACCAGGCTGTCCGTGTGAAACATCTCCAGGTTGTCAGTGTGCCTGCAATGATGAGCATGCACTTGAAGAAACGCAAGATCGTACAGCGGTGAACGTTTCAACGAATATACAAGTGATCTGCGCGGCGTGAACTGTCCTGCAAACACCACACACAAACTGCTCAACGAATGAGGAGCGCTCTAAATGCTGCACCACTGCAGCGACAACTTAGTGCGTTTTCATTTCTAGGTAGATAATCAAGTAATTATGTCACCACAGCTGGGTACTGTGCATGGTTACCCCAAGAATGACTGCTCCTGTACTGTTAATTTTCGTCCGGCGATGCATGTTTTCTATCATGACTACCACATACTACCAATTTTGTGATACCGGGCTCTAACTGTTGACCTCAGCTTGGCTGGATGCCGTGGCTAGCGGACTTTAACACATCCTGCGACGACGGCGCGGGGAAAGGCCGCACGCCTGGGAAGACGCGGGCTCCTTTGCACCACCTGCAGGTCACCACGAAGGCGGCGAGGTTCAGCGTTCGAAGGCTGGCCACGACCTCCCACAGGGCGTTGTGCGCCGGAGACCCCGCCCGCAGCCACGGCCGGTCGCGGGACTCGTCCTCCGGCACGTCAGCATGGTGACAGCGGTTGAGGCCGCTGGGTGTGGCGTGGATGTTTACCACGTGGTTCAGGACCATCAGCCAGCGCTTCTGCAGAATACAAACAAACACAGTCATGTGATGGAGTGCATGAGCTGTCCGTGTGCTCCCGGCCGATTGGGATCATGGTTTTGCAACGCATTGTGTCTGTACCAGGAGAGCTAAGGAATACACATGACAGAAACACTACAATCATGTAACATTCTCTCTCTCTCTCTCTCCCTCTCTCGGCCGCAGTCGCAGATGCGATCTCGCTCGCAGTGCGCTACTCAGCTCTTCTCGCGATCTAGGATCAGCGCTCCTCTCCCTCTCGATCCTCTCTATCTGCTGCCTCTATCCTCCCTATCTACCGCTCCTCTGCTCCTCTAATCTCTCTCTCTCCTCTCTTCTCTCTCTTCTCTCTCCTCTCTCTCTCTCTCTCTCTCTCCTCCTCTCCTCTCTCTCTCTGTATATATATATATATATATATATATATATATATATATATATATACAAACATGTCCATGCATATACGTAACATCTTCTAATCAACATACACCATAGAGATGCTGAAGACCGCAATTCATCCATATGACAACCATGCATGCATGTTGGTGAATACTAGTGCGGGGGCGAGTGTAGACAGCGTTAATGTACCAGCACACGTTATCATGTCACGGACAACGCGTGCTGCTGTTGTGTCTATCAAGAGCACCTTGAACACGTCGACGTCTCCGTGCGATGTTTGGGCGCACCACCTGAAGTGATCTTTGACGTGACGCACCCATGGTCTCAGCGCCCGGTTTTTAGGCTTCGCTGCATGCTGGCGCAGGCGCTTCGCCACGCTCTTCGCAGCGTGCCAGACGGCACACGAATACTGTGCGCCTGGTAGGTGCTGCCCTAAAGCGACAGCGGTAGTGATTACAGTGATGCTTCGGTGATATCAGCGTCCCGATACGTGACACGTTTCTCGGTGAGGGACAGTTTGATCGGGGTTGGGGGTGGGGGTATGTAGTGTCATGGCAGTGACCGCGCACGTGGAAACCTCAACGCGCAGATGCAGACGTCTCAGAACCCGTCATATGAGATGCGTTTAGCCGAAAGTTGAACGCTCAGAAAGACACATATCATAACCATGCGGCTAGCATTATGACCAGACAACATTTTGTGCAACACAAATCGCCGATGGAGAAAAGGGCCAAGGAGCGGGAAAACACAACACAGTGACACACTTCCCAGCACCCCGAAAGTCTGCCTACGATGAGCACAACCATCGCCTTCGTGGTTCACTTACTGACAGCCTTCCTCACACCCAGGTGTTGATCAGATATGAACTCTTTGATGGGAAGTTCTTGGAGGTCGCTAAGACAGCGCGAGAGGCCTTCCACCTCCAGCTTCGGGCTCGCGAAGCCGACCTCCTCACTGCATACGATGTTCTGTGTGCAGACACGTTCGGAAATAGTTCAACTTTCGCAGCACAACTGACATTACAGGATGTCAATCATGATCTGGGTTTTGCCTGCGGTCAACTATGAATGGTCACGCAATACCCAAAAGGACCACAAAAGGCATTACGTGGACCAAACTGTACGCTGCCGTGGCAGCCAGATGTTATGACTGCTGTAACGCGCCATAATGTGCAGGGTATGCCAAATGCATCAGCGCACGAACTCGATTGCAGTTCCAAACGTGCGGAAGCAAAACCTCGCCGACAAGCTCTCACCTCTCATACGTCAGGCACTCCCGGAGAACCACATGCGCGCGTGCTGAACGCCATACCTGAGCTATGATATGGCCAGTTGTGTGGTCCATGATGGTGCAGCACCCATATGATGCCGAGGAGCTGGGGCTGTCATTTTGACAGTCACCTGAGACAGACAGTATGATAACTAAGCAGCTGATTCATTTGTCTACCAATGCACGCTCGATGCAATAGCTGCTGTCACTAGGGTGGGCTTCAACACCAGGGAAACGTAATATAAAGCCTCAAATTTGAAAAGTAACGCGTCAGACACCATACCGCGCGGACTGGGCAGTTTGAGATCCTGTACGCCTTACCGCGGATCGAGCCTGCGCACGGCGACCGTTCGTCGGTTCCCAGCACTGGGCAGCTGCTACACTAAGAACATGTGCGGCAAATAGAGCAAACGTCGGGTGACGTGGACAAGAGCAGAACCGCGCCGTACCCTCCCGGACTGAGGCGAGTCGAGCCGGGCTGGACTGAGGCGAGGTGAGCTGGGCTGGACTGAGGCGAGGTGAGCTGGGCTGGGCTGAGGCGAGGTGAGCTGCGCTGGACTGAGGCGAGGTCAGCCGGGCTGGACTGAGGCGAGGTCAGCTGGGCTGGACTGGGGCGAGGTCAGCCGGGCTGGACTGAGGCGGGGTGAGCTGGGCTGGACTGAGGCGATGTGAGCTGGGCTGGACTGATGCGAGGTCAGCCGGGCTGGACTGAGGCGGGGTGAGCTGGGCTGGACTGATGCGAGGTCAGCCGGGCTGGACTGAGGCAATGTGAGCTGGGTTGGACTGAGGTGAGGTGAGCTGGGCTGGACTGAGGTGATGTGAGCTGGGCTGGACTGAGGCGATGTGAGCTGGGCTGGACTGAGGCGGGGTGAGCTGGGCTGGACTGAGGCGAGGTCAGCCGGACTAGGCTGAACTGGGCCGGGCTGAGGCGAGGTGAGCTGGGCTGGACTGATGCGAGGTGAGCTGGGCTGGACTGATGCGAGGTGAGCTGGGCTGGACTGAGGCGGGGTGAGCTGGGCTGGACTGAGGCGAGGTCAGCCGGACTAGGCTGAACTGGGCCGGGCTGAGGCGAGGTGAGCTGGGCTGGACTGATGCGAGGTGAGCTGGGCTGGACTGATGCGAGGTGAGCTGGGCTGGACTGATGCGAGGTGAGCTGGGCTGGACTGAGGCGAGGTCAGCCGGACTAGGCTGAGCCGGGCTGGGCTGAGGCACGTTGAGCCGGGCTGGAACGAGGCAAGCTGGACAGGAAGCTGCATTGAAAAAACCGTGGTAACGGTGTAGTAGACGAGGTGCACCACCACCACGCACCCGGGACATAACTTCATACATTGGACTGGATGACCCAGTGATGGGAACTTACCAGCAATGACAAGGCCATCAGGGGAAGCAGCCATGGCCGCCTCTCGGTTTTCAGCCATGGTCTTGTTGAACGCCTCCTCAATCACTGGTGCTACAACCCTGTGTGTGGTACGGCTGTATGCCGTCTCACTGAGCTGCCCTATGTTTGCGAAGGACAACATCTTGTTCAGCTCTTCCAGATGGCTGCCACTGAGCACGACTGCCGCAGAAAGCAGGGTGTCTATGACCATTGTGTGGCCGTCTTTTGGCGTTGACATCCACTTCTTGGTCACAGTGTCACATGCCTTGCATTCCTAAAAAAGACATTACCAAAGCTAAGAGAGTAGCCGACCCTGAAACTACTGAACATCATTGCACGGGTGGCGGTGTGACGGTGCGTTACGGGCAATGAAAGCGTAACAGCCCCTTGGCGACAAATACTCATGACACCGATCACGCTATGGCTTATACTATAGTACTTTAGAACAGTAATGGACAGTATCACATAAGCTATTCAGTGCATGTGCGAGGCACATAATGCATATACCTACGACAGTAGTAATAGCCATTTTCCTCGTAGAAAAATCAGAATGGAGAGATAGATGTGCTCTCGATATATACATATATATATATATATATATATATATATATATATATATATATATATATATATATATATATATAATAGATAGACAGATAGACATATATACGTATATATATATATATATATATATATATATATATATATATATATATATATATATATATATATATATATATATATATATATATATATGTAGATAGATAGATAGATAGATAGATAGATAGATGACAGACAGATAGATAAACATACAGATAGATAACACATTATCTCTCCATTCTCAGGTTTTTCTACGAGGAATAAAGCTATTGCGACTGTTTTAACCAATGGACAGTATTTTCAAAAGCTCATGGCTAAGCAGTCAAAAAGCAGTGGTAATAACCCAAAACAATGTTACAAACTACACCATGTAAAACCAACGACCATTCCACATACCATTGCATGTTTTGGTTGGCTGGAACGCACCACGAAAAGAACAACAGCCAATTCGAAGTTGTTTTGTACGGATGACTTTCAAATGCATTCTCGACCACATCTCCAACTGGGACTCACCCATGTGATCGTGAACGATACGGTGACCCGAGTCACATTCACACCGCATCTAGCGCCGCACCGGATGCAGAGCACCGCGGCGGCCCCGGCCAGCTCGCGCAGCTGGGGCTCGGAGACGAAAGCGCTGCGGGTGCCCCAATGGCTCTCTTCTCCCGCCGTCGCCCCGAGGCTGGGGTCTCCTTCCTCCCCAGTACCCATCTCGACATCACTGAAAACAATATGACAGGGCTAACACAAGAGCACCTCCAGGAATCAAGCCTAATTGACTTGTAGCACAGGTGAGACTTAGAGACGTATGCACTAAAGCCACGCAAGCAGGAACACAACGGGAACACCACTGATGCAGTACCATAGTAGAATAACATGATTATCAATATCTTTATGAATGCTGGAGCAGCAGTTTCGTCGCGCCAACGCATGGGACGTTTCAACATCCTTCCATCAACAGCACAATAGTGCGGAAAAGCACTACATCCTGCCACAAAATTATAAATTGGCGGCTGAAGGGTGAATTCACGTGCCTAACTGCCATGAAACGACATAGCGTCAGCTCAGTAGCAACCTCGTCATCATACATTTGCTCATGTCCCATAGCTGCGTCGAGTGTGGCGCCTCGGCCGAGGGCCCAGGCCGGGCCCTGGCTGCCACCGGGTGCAAGAGCGCTACGAGTCCCTTCAACATTGGCTGGCTCCTTGGTAGCTCGTGAGGTTCTGGGGGAAAAAGGACGAATGATGATGTAGACATCGCTCACAACAATGCAGCTTGTGGAGATGTGCATTACACGCAAAAGCCCGCCGCAATCCGCAAAAAAATGTTGTTGAGCCTTGGTGACCCGCTTATGGCCACTCATTGCAATTATGCAGCACTGACACTGGCATGGAAAAAAAAGTCGTGAAATGGTGCCAGATATCATACCAGCAACTTTTTCAGAGCAAAACAATCCTGTTCGCCAGAAGCGACGACTACTCACACCGGCGAAAGAAGCGCTCGTAGTCTACTATGCCAAGCAACGTCCGCACAGTCACCGGCATCGCCGTCGCCACCTCCAGCCGCACCGCCGCCGCCTTCACCACTCCGACCACCATCGCCATCACCAGCTAGGTACCTGTGTCAAATATAGCATCCAACTCACACATGACATCTTTATGCCGAGAATCCCCACTAACATCACGTAAACTGAATTTCTGCAGACTACTCTCACACATCCCAGTACGGTACTGCACGTTTTGGTTCTCTCACATCACACTGCATAGATCTTTCAGATGTCACAACGTCGACATTCACGTGGCTGCTCGCCTTTTCCAAGTAAGCCAAAGCACCATAGAAAACAACTACAGACAATCATAGACAAGTGTAACGTGCACAACCAGCGCTGCTGTAGCTATGTGCGAGCTGCATGATTATGTCAGCGTAATGTTGCATGCTTAAAACGACATTCTGCAACCTGCACAAAGGAATAGTTACCGCTCAGCAAGGTGCAGGATAGTGTTGCCCACTGTCAGCAGGCCAGCCTTCTGCATCGCCCGGCGGAGGACCATGTATGTGTGGGTTGGCACCAGCAGCTTCCTGTTTGTTGCTGATCGTCTGGAACATAGCATGGTGTGCTGTAGGAAGTGTAGCAGGCCCTGGCTGTGGAGATATGCCTATGGCTAGTTACTTCAAGTATGGTGGCAGGCTCAAGGTTCCCAGTTCCCCAGGCTCTAGAATGCTATGCTACAAGTGGTTGCAACAAGAGCTGCACTGTGTCTTGTACAACATTGCCTCCGCAAGACTTCTTATAAACATGCAATGTTGCAAGTTTGTCATGCATGTCAGGTTGCTTGTGTCATCCTACTGCAACCAGAGCGCCCACTGCATGAGAAGTGCAGTCTTTTGGCAACATATACGTGTCTATTGGAACTGGCATCTGCTACAGTAGGGCCACCAATGTTCAGCAAAAGTAGTAACACTGGTTTAAATCTGATGTCGCTAATATTTCCGGGAAATTAGAGCACTGGTTTTAACTTAACTGCTCAAAGCAGTTCAGCTGCAACGTAGCGCCTTAAAGTTACAAAATCCATCCCCTGAAATCCATCATGCAGACCTAGCTTCAGATCGCCGGGCAGGACTTGAGGTACGGAAGACTGAGGTGGCTGGTACACCTCCCCTGAGCTGAAAGCATTTCAGTCCACATGAAAAACAGAACTGTCCTGCAATAAACATACAGCCTATGAGACAGTAATAGTGCATGTGATCCAAATGTAAGAACATAGTAACATTTGTCTTACATGTGGATGTGAATGCTCAAAACAAAGAGATGACAGGACCATAGCTTACATGAATCACCAACACTTTTGCAAACATGTTGCATATGCCAAGCACATCATTCTCTACCTATGCTACACTATAGCCAGTAGGGCATATGGTACAGGATTCAGCACCTCACCAAGTATTTGGGACTATGCTAACTAGAGGAGATTTTGCTACCTGGCACAATGCTTATAATGCATGAATGTCCTGCGCATGTTGTAACGTCATAGCTGACTAGAAGCCGTTCTAATATTGTGACGTAAGAACGTTGAATTTGACACATGTATCGAGAAAACAATCATATCGTGCACAAACCTGCAAAGATGGAACTGCCATTGCCTGTAACCTCTTTCTTTGTGCTGCAGAGTTTGAAAATGCACTGGGCGCAAAGTGTGCCTCGCATACTCCACTATCTGCCCCTACTTCCAGGAGATTACACGCTTGTAACCATTGCTGCTGGCGGGCTTCCTGAACGGGGAACCTGAAATGACAGATGCCATGGGCGTCCGTTCTGATCATACGGCATGCTGAACATGCATTATTGCAACTGAGTGATGTGAAATGCTAATGACTGCCTGCAAAATCAGCCACCATAATCGTGCTGAGCAGCGACTCATCGGGGGCCAGCCTAACGGCAATACCCATTTTGCCAGATTTGTTCAACATATGTTAGCATGTCTGATGTAGTCCTCAAACTGAGCACAGTAGCACACGCATGGGGAACACAGGGGCACGTGCCCCACCCTTAGGTTCCGAGGGGCCCTTCGGGCCCCTCGGAACCTGCGACTGAGGGCTCGAAAAGCTAGCGGGAGGTCTCATTCATGGACCCCGGCCCGCAGGGCAGGGCACTCCAACGCCAGCCAGAGGGCCCTGCGCGCTGATCAGCGGTCCAATGAATCGATAAGGGCCTTTATTTCGGTCAGTAAAGTAGTAACCTCCACCAGTAACGCACAGTCGACCCCGAGGGAGCATGGGTCTGAGGACCCATTTTCTAAGCAGGGGCAAAGTCGGAGCCAGCGATTTGCCTTACTCCGCCCTACACAGCGCCAGCAGGGGCCACGTGTTGTCAAGGGGCCCCAAGTAGGTCAGAGGCAACGTTCGAGGAAGCGCGAGGAGTCCGAGGGGACCCGAGTGGTCCACCGAAACCGACGATCAAAGGCCCGGTTGGGGGACATAACGACCCGAAGGACTGGTCGTAGATCGCATAAATAATCGCGGTCCGTAGGAAATGACCTGAAATGTCAGTCAGAGGTCCTTTTGCGACATTTGAGGGACCCCTGAGACAATGCGGGTGTATGAGTCGGTCACAGGCTACGAACACCGAACAGTCGGTTCCATGTCCGTTTGAGCCGCTGAGACACACTGCCCAAGCAGAAACGGAGCCGGTGTCCGCGATTTGAAATGTTCGGGGTCCCTGGCACAATGAGGGGTTCCTGTGTCGGTTGCGTGCCACAGTGTCGAACAGGGGTCCTGTAGTGACAAGTGGCCCCGGGTCGGAGCGGTGTTTGAGGGGCCCGAAGAGGGGCCGACGGGTCTTTCGAGACCAACGATCAAGGTCCCGATGGGGCGGCTGAGTGGTCCGAAGGGTTGGCTGTAGGTCACATTAAGGATCCCCACCCATGGCCCGTGATCTTAAATGTCCGTGAGATAACCTCTTGCACCGATAGGGACCAATGAGACAGGGCGTTCCTCTACTTCGACGAGAAATCACGGACAACGAACAGTAGGTTCCGTGTTTTTCTGAGCTCTGGGACCCATTTTCCAAGCAGGGATATGGCCGGGTACACGATTCACATTGGTCGAACTTCTGTATCGTTCAGGGGCACGCAGTGACTAACAGGGCACCCTGTACCAACACAGGGCCTCGATTCGGCCAGGGGAAGATTTGCACAACAGGAACGGGGACGGGAGTCCAAGTGGCAGAGAGTCTCTTGCGTTGGTGAGAGCCCTCTGACAATGGAAGGAAACATAAGAACTTGTGAAGAGCGCTTACATTGAGGAACTAGAAGAGTCCTTGTCCGGTCAGGACCCCAAGTACTAAACGATGGGCGCCCCAGCCCCATTCCAGTATGGGCCCGTTGAGCCCAACTGGAGTCCATGTGCCAATTATTTGACCACCCGCGGCGAGCAGGCACGTCGTCGCGTTAATGACAGTCCATGCCTTGATCCGGGATCAACTGTGCGGGTCGGAAGGCCTCCCGCGCCAGGAAGCGGACCAATAAGATATGATGTGTCTCTCAGGGCCTCCGGATTGGCCTGGGGATACCGCCCCGTGTCGCCAGAATGGCGGCCAGAAAACACACCGCGGTTGGACAGAACGGCCTTGCAGCCTTTGACCGGGAACAGTGTGTTCCTTAGTACTTACGAGGGCCCCTTCACTGATATAAATAAGGGGTCTCATTGGTGTTGAATGGAGAGGACCGAAATAAGTTCAAAATGCACAAGGCCATCTGATGTTTCCCTGAGAACGTTGATCGTTTTGCAGGATCGACTAGTGAAAAAAATACCACCCAAAGGTTTGAGCCTGCGCGCCGGGTGCCGCTATTGTAGTGGTTAACGCGCCTGCGTAAACCAAGCACATCTCGTTAACTACAGATATGTCTCGTTAACTACAGATACGGGATTGGATTGAATATGGGTTCCCCATGGTGCCTGCTCTTTCCGCCAGGGTGAGAGACTGGCGGCGCCAAATAGCCGAAGAGCTGAGTGCGTCATCAAACCCCAGTGACACGCCCGCAATCTAGGGGAGCAAGGATAGGGATGGCTTGTGTCACACTTTTTGCAAAACCGAACGGCGTTGGCCACTGCAAGTAACGCCAGGAGGCAGGCGCCGAGCGCGCAACAATGCCAACTGTAAAATAATGTTTCTTAATGTCTTGCAAAACTAATTTGAGCAATTCAAAAACTACACTGGGTGCAAATTTTTTACAACTTTAAGGTTGTCCTCTAGGCAGACCAACAGTCACCACAAGATAGAAAGAAGAGAGTTTTCCTTCTATTCTTCTAGTTCCACAACCAAATTCCAGCACCACTTTGTGGTGCTGTAAAGATGAATATGCAATTGCCATCAATCTAAAAACCTCAGAGGTGAAACATATGCCTGGAATATCTCTAAATGGATGATTTGATGTCAAAAAGCATTCAAAGGTACTTCTTTCAGATGTGTCACCATTTTTTGTTCACCTGTTGGCTATGGCTTAGTGTTAGCAGTGGGGGTCAACCCTGCACAGCCTAGGGAGACTGCAACACCCAGCATTGGGCCTTTGGTTACTAAGATATGTGAGTGTGCATACTCAAAACTATGTTACATAATTTGTATGCATGTTTTGTACACATTATTTGTTCACATGTAGAGCATATCAGCAACATCACAGTACCAATTTCAGCACATTCACACTGCAATTTAATGTTCAGAATTCAGAGCATGATATAGGTTGGTACTCAGCGCATAAAGCTCTGTGAGATGTTCAGTATTCAACATATCCACACTGTACAGGTGAATGAGCAAGTGGATGAATTTTTGGCAGGCTGGACCATGGTGAACACATGACTAGGAACATACATATGGGGAAATACAGACCAACATCTCTGGCTGGGTGGTAGGTGGTTACATCATCAGGCCAGAGCGTGGTTTCACAAACAGAATTGGGAGGTAGGAGGCTGAGGTGGGGACATGGCTAACCGGCTCCATTATTTCTACCAAAAACAATTTTGTCCCCAGAACTGATGGGGATTGGGGAACATCGGTAGTTGATATGCTGTGCATGGGTGGACATCGCTTGTGACTCAGTTGTACAACAGAAGTAATATTACCATTACCACCACGGAGCGTTCTACGTCACAAACCTACTGGATATAATAAAATGTGAAATCCACAAAGGAAACGGTAAGCAAAGGTAAAAAACGAAGGTAGGTAACGATGCATTTGAGCGATCAGCAAGGTACTTACGCGAATACAGTCAAATGATTATGCCTCTTCCGGTAACCTCCGCAGACGCAACACTTCAGGTTTGGCATCTTGAACGGGCGCAAAAGCGCTGGATTTAATTGTGTTGCACAAAGTTCGTTGTCCCGCCCGCAGCGTTCCAACGCATAGCGCCCACGCCCCCAGCAGCGAAATCCAGCTATCGCCAAGTGCCTCCAAGGCCACCAGAAGCTTGTCTGCTGTTTTGGAGTCACTGGGGGGGGGGGGGGAGGATCTAAAAAACTGACATTTGAAGCAATTGCGTTTGTTCTCCGAAACGGCTCATCTGATAGCCTTGAAACTTTCATCAATCAATTTAATGTATGGGTGTGAGTCATAAGGTGGTAATATTGACACCTGACCTGTGGTCAAACACCTCAAAAAACGCGAAGGGAAAATTTTCGATGCCAAAGCAGACAGCCCAATGTACCGATCGCTGCGAAAACTTCACCATGAGTCATGCGTAATAAGCCTTAAGCAATTGATGCTTTGGTTATCCTAGGTCAGGTCAGCTAGTTCAGGTCAAAATTCACTGAATTTCATGAAGTCCGAAATTCTTGCTGGCAGACAACTCAGTTCTCAGAGCCTATCGAACCAATCGCTGCAAAACCTTCAGCATTGGATGCGCTGTGGGAACAAATCACCCCGGAGACTGCAGAGTGGGCCACAGGAGCCGACCCCTTTAGCGTGTTGCGGCGCTTGGGTACGCCTTCGAGGACTTTGTGGCCTACTTCGGGCTGCCGCGTCGCGACCAACACTGCCACGAAAGGCAGGCGATCCACTTGTTACCGAGGCCCGACTCAGAAGCAATTGATTCCCGTGGACACGCCCGACCGCGCCGGAAACCCAAGACAGCATCTCGCGACATAGCTCGACGGTTGACAGGCCAAGCATCGCTGCAACACGACCGTGGAGGTCACGTCGCCCGGACCTGCTCGGACGTGCACCTGCGGCCGAGCCGGGGTGCCCAGAGCACCGCTGCTACATCACCGCCGCCTCACGACAGGCACCACTAAAGACCAACAATCCCAGTGTGATATCTAAATACAAACGAATTGAGATCTAAGCAGCAGTATGTAATGCTTTGGTTAAGACAATAACGAGTCAGCATACAATTCAGTGTGAAAAGCGAGTCGTTGCATGTCGTAAGTTTAGCGCGACGTCAGTACCATTTCGAGCCGCACGGTATACTCCAGTTTGCTATTCCATACAAGGCTCCAGGAACCATCAGTCAAGGTTTTAGAACATATATATATATATATATATATATATATATATATATATATATGTAACACGTACCATTTAGCGCAATAACTTGTCGGTGATCCTAGGTACGACTGCGCACTGCGAGTGTATTTGTTCTAGACATGATTATGCACGAACGCTTTAGGTAAGGTAAAATAAAAATAATATCCCTAGACCACCACGTGTAGGACCGCATAGGTATGTCCCTAGAAAGGGCGGACCCGTTCCACCTCGAGTTTGACGGCGACCCTGTATCGAGCCATATAAATCGTGGCTGAGGGTGAACGGAGTAGTGAACCGAGGGACCTCGTCACTTTACACCATGCAAGTAGGCCCACGGCTTTGCCGCGCTGCGGGGCCGGATGGTTCCCGCGCCGAACCCCTGTTCGACACTTGTCGCTCCGCCCCCTCCCCCCCCCCCTTCGTCCAGGTCGTGGTATTTCTTACTGGTCGTGGTGTCATCTTATCCAGTTTTGCTAGCCTTGCTCTATGCCTTTGCATGACTGCAATTATTGTCTCAATAGATCTGCGTTCGTCTCGTGTAAACTAATTCTCCATCCGCTTACTTATGTTTCGCAAAAGTATTCTGAAATGTCTATAATTCTCTTCTGTCCGGCGGACAGCTCCGACAAGTCGTTCTGGGATTCAACGGGGCTGTTAGTAACCCCAGAAAAAGACAGCTTACGGCGTCATGCCCGATTTCCTCTACAAGTTGAAAATTTGGTGTTCATACGTCAGGTCAAAAGTAATTAAACTTGACAACTTCCGACATGCTTCATCGCGGACAACTCGATTCTCAAACCTGCCGAACCGATCGTTACAAACCATTCACCATTGGTTTCACCATGCCTGATTCCCTTTCGCTGTTGAATATTTGGTGACACTAGGTCAGGTCAAAAGTCCTGAAATTTCACGAAGTCCAAAATTCTTGCCTGCAGAAAACTAATTTAGAAATTGGCGCTTCGGTCGTCTCCAAACTTTTACCATTCGATTGGACATACGTGGCAGTTGTGATCAGGGGCGGATCCAGAGGGGGGGGGGGGGGGCACGAGGCCACGTCAGATCATGGTTTAAGCGAAGCCAATTTCCAGGGAATCGTCCAGTCTGATGCAACAACGGAGTGTTAGTCGAACCTGTACATCTCTGAGACGCTTTCTTAGGCAAGACACATATTGAATAAGCAATAACATTGACCTAAGGTCATGTATAAAGGTCAGACCAAGGTCAAAACCCGCCTGTTTATTAATCTAGGGCTTGCTGTATGGGATAGTTTCTGGTGCTCACTTCAACTTTATTGAAAGCAGAAAACACATTGTACATCTTCCATGGATATTAACGACCCAGGTCAACATTTTGTTTTTAGAAACATACTTTCCAGCATAATCTTTGTAGCTCATTCAAATGTAGAGTTCATAGTATTTTTGTATAATTTTGATCACCATGACCTTCAAATGGTCAAAAAAGACCACTGACCGTAACTGAGCATGTGACATTTTGCTTAGAGCAGTTATCTAGGTTCCCAGGGGCACTTTGGGGACCAACCCGGAATTTGATCTTGTTTGACCTTATTTGACAAGAGGGTCATAAGCTGGGAATCTCAAACTTTAACCTAAGTGAGTTCATGTATATGTCAACACACCCTGTAAGTTTGGTGCTGCTAGCTTTCTTGGTTCCCGAGATCTCAGGGGGGAGGGGGAAATTGACCCCCACCCGAGCAAAGGGTGTCTAGCCGGCCATCAGGACGCGTATAAACCTATCGACACACTCACGATATGCTCATGGGCCCCCTACATTAGTCTAGGGCGCCTCCAATTTTCTGCCACTTGCTAAGGGCCCTTCACGCTTGTCGGGCGTCCATCTTTTAATCTCTTTGGGCACATCGGCCGTTCGGGGCACACCATAATGGGTCTTGGGTGCTTTCTATTTGAATGGAGGGCCCTACACACTTGTCGAGGCCCATCTGTTAACTTGCTCGGGGACAGTGGATTGTTTGGGGGGCCCTGCACATTGGATATTTTAATGTAGGGCCCTACGCTCCTGTCGGGGGCCACCTGATAGCCTACTCGGGTACACTCGATCCTTCACTGGCCCTCCACGCTGGGTCGTGGGTACTTCTTGTTTGAATAGCGGCCCTATGCTCTTGTCGGGGGCTTATTTGATTACCTGCTCGGGCATATTCAATGGTTCGGGGGCGCTCTACAATAGGTCCTGGGTGCTTCCATTTTGAATGGAGGCCCTCTGTTCACCTCCTCGGCACACTGGGTTGTTCGGGGGCCCTGCACATTGGTCTTGGTGTCTGCATTTAGGGCCGTACACTCCTACCGGGGCCATCTGATAACCTGCTCGGGTACATTTCATCTTTGGGGTTCCCGCACTGGGTGTTGGGTACCTCTTATTCGAATGAAGGGCCTTACGTTCTTGTCGAGCTCCTTCTGATAAGCTGCTCGTGCACATTCAGTCATTCGGGGGCCATTTGCATTGTGTTTTGGGTGCTTCTTATTCGAATGGATGGCCCTGCGCTGTTGAGGGGGCCCTATCTGTTAACCTGCTCTGTCGCGCTCGATCACTCCGGGGCCCTCTATGTTGTCTTGAGTGTTTTTTATTTGAATGGATGGCCTTACGGTCTTGGCGGGCCCGATCTATTAAGCTACTGGGGCCGTTGGCGGATAAAGGGCGGGGGGGGGGGGCACCGGACCATGCCCCATGGACCATGCAGAGGGCACCCATAGGCTTCGAAGTGACCGATAACTGGCTGAACGAACACAGCTTTCTAATAAAAAAAACACAACAAAATTGGACGTGTGTGGGCTTGCAGGCGACATAGACCGGTTGCAAACAAAATATAAGCAATAATTTAAATCTAATGGGACGCTTACGCTACTGGGACACTATCTCCTTCCATGTCTAGGCATTCTTGGTCGATCAGGGGCCTTCCACCGATTCTTCCCATTTGCCCGAAAGGCTCTATACGCTTTTCCGGGCCCCCATTGGTCAGGGTACACTCAGCTGCTCAGGAGCCCCTCATATTAGTTTTGGGTTATTTCCACTTGCTCGGAGGGCCTTGTGCTGTTGCTTGGGGGCATCATCGCACAGGGGTATCAATTCATGGTCTCGCATAATTCTCCTTTGCTCAGAGGGTCTTGCATAATTCCCCTTTGCTCTGACCGGGGCCTTATATGTCAGCCTGCCGGGGGCCCACCATCGTTTAGGGGCCCACCACGTTGGATCTTGGGTTCTTTTCATTTGCCCCGAGGACCCTATGCCTGTCGACGGGAGCCTCTCTGTTGGCCTCGCAGGGCACCAATGATCGGTCAGGTTCCGCCCCTATCAGGTTTGGTGCCTTAACCTCATAGCAGCAGTCGTAAAAGTGCCGATGACTTTTTACGTGCAAGCGTCGAAGGTAATGTTACGTGCCTCCGACGTCGCAAGTGTCATTTCCCTTGGCGATTGAGTGTATGACACTCATCAAACTTGTACATCACGTTATTAACGTATTTTGAACACTAGAATGTTTTGTACTCGTTTATACTCGTTTATGGCAAATAAGAAATTATACATTTGTGATCAGTCATCAGCTGATTACATCACCCAGCTAGCTAGTCATAAATACGCTAGGAATCAAGTCCGTGCTTGGCTTTGATGGTAATTAGTAGCCAAAATCACAGGACTTATGTGATCTGGAGAAAATAAATGAGCTCTATGCATGTGCATGCATAACATGCCCAACATTAGCACAGTAGGATAGGTTTCCATCTTTACTATGCATATATATATATATGTTTGCCGCTTACTATATAGCTTAAAATTTAATGGCCGAAATGCGAGGATATTTTTTGGAGGGGGCCGCAATCCCTAGGGGCCCCACGACGTTGCGTGGCCCCAC